TTTTTTTTTTTTTTTTTTTTTTTTTTTTTTTTTTTTTTTTTTTTTTTTTTTTTTTATGGTTTTCTTTCCAGTGTAACATAGAGTCTCGCGAGCAGTCCAAAAATGGGCATTGGATCTCAAATGATTCCAATTGGTCTCAAATGCCAGTATCCATGATTGAAAACGATTTTTGAGCGGGAATAAAATTTCCCAGCGGTAAAGGTTAAACTTCGATTCATAGGAAATTTAAAATTGCCCCACGAGGCATCCCTGCATTGGCATCAATCCCTTTGCTGGCTAATCCCCAGACTTGAGGTACCCACCTGTCACTCCTCCTCCTCCCGGCGTCGGGCGGAGGGATTTCCGCCTAGTCATCCTCGCCTGAAAAATCAACAAACCAAAGCTTCATCCCCAGGGCCAACAAAAAGCACCTCAGCCAACGGCGCACTCATCTGCACGCCAACGCCGATCCGCCTTCAATCTCCGCTGATACCACCCGACCAACCTCTAATAATAGTGCTATCAAGCGATGAAATGCGTCTCGCGGCTTTGGAAATCTGCCGTGCTCAGGAAGAACGCCGTATGAGCCTTTGCAGGTTGCCAAATTCACTCAATTAACCACGAAATTTCTGGAAAACTTTTGGATCAGAGTGTCTACAAGTCAGGAGTTAGTACTGATTTTTAAGTGGGGTCCGGAAGTATTGAAAAAGTGCGGAAATTCTGCAAGAGGTCCGGAATTTTTTTCAATTTTGTCTCAATTTGATCGAGGTATTCAAACTTTTGAAATTTTTCTAATTTCGTCAAAAGGAGGTACTGAAAAAAAGCTGAGTTTTTCTGTTGAGGAGGTACTGAAATTTCTGGGAATGCACTGAAAAAGTCCCTCAGAAGTACTGATTTTTGGCCAACCGATTTTAGTAGACACCCGGTGGATACTTTCCTTCCAGTTGTGTACTAAATTTTAGTCGCAATTTAATCTAAAATATCTGCCAAAATCAAGAGACAGGGTGTCTACAAATTTGAAATTTCCGGAAAGTCCAGAGTTAGTACTGATTTTTTAAGGGGGGTCCGGAAGTAGTGAAAAAGTGCGGAAATTCTGCAAAAGGTCCGGAATTTTTATCACTTTTTGGTCATTTTTGTCTCAATTTGAGCGAGGTATTCAAACTTTTGAAATTTTTCGAATTTCGTCAAGAGGAGGTACTGAAAAAGTGCTGAGTTTTTCTGTTAAGGAGGTACTGAATTTTCTGGGAATGCACTGAAAAAGTACCCTAGAAGTACTGCTTTTTGGTCAGCCGGTTTTAGTAGACACCCTGTGGATACTTTTCTTCCAGTTGTGTACTAAATTTTAGTCGCAATTTAATCTAAAATATCTGACAAAATCAAGGGAAAATATTCGTAACATTCCTCAAGAATAGTATTTTATCTGGGGAAATGTGGCAGCGTTCGGATGTTCGTACGGTGTTTTTCCGTGACACTTCAGATATCTGGTCATGAACGGAGAGTTTTCCGACAGCTGAATGGAACGTTTGGGGCGTTTATGGCGCATTTTAAACATTTCTGGGATCGCACCGGATGAGGGAGGATTGCGGAGGAATTTGAAGGGAAATGAAACATTATTTCCAGCGTTGAGATAGCTTTCCAGCGGCGAACTAGCAGCGATTTTGTCTCCAAGCTCGCGGCACGCCGCGCCGGTTCTATGACTGGCGAGGGTAATTACTTCATACGATCAGTGTGTAATTTTAAAAGTCATAAATTAAAAAAAAAAAAAAAAAAAAAAAAAAAAAAAAAAAAAAAAAATTACACGATACACGAGTTACTCCGCCAGGGAGCTCTCCCCGCAAGAAATCGTTCACCGCCCGCCCGCCTGGAGAGCCGCGGCGCGGCGTGCTGCCAGCTCGGAACGTGCACTGACGCCTACAAACCTAAGGGGCTACTTCACGCATTGCGCAATGTTTGAAGTATCCACTTAGGTTTGTAGGGGCTACTTCACGTATTGCGCAATGCTTGAAGTATCCCCTTAGGTTTGTAGGCGCCAGTGCGCGTTTTGAACTGGCAGCACGCCGCGCCGCAGCGTGCCATAAACTTGCCCACAATTTCTAGGTCAGGGCATTAAAATGTAAGCAATTTGACATTAAATTCCGTATTAGCGACTCCAAAATCAACAGTTACGAAACTTTCGTGATCTTTCAGTCTGTATCGCACTTATTTCTTCCTATTCTTGAGTTTTGGACAAAAGTGCGCCGCGGGCGACGGCGCTCATTAAATAGACCACTAGACAAGGTACGAATTTCAGCATTCTGATACATGTTCCTTATCTAAAATTTCACCTAGAATACGATGCGCACAACAAAAATTGCCGAAATCAACTCCTTCCGAAGATATTTTATGATTCTCGATGCGTGAATTCAAACCACTCGCTCACGAAAACTCAATGCTTTGCGTGACTCACATCGCGCGCTAAACGTTATCATGACAGTCTCGGCGATATAAAAATCTGGCAACCTCAATCTTGATGCTTTAGCTCAGCTGTAACAAATTACTTATAGTTTGAATAACACATGGTGGGAAATGAACATGGCTCGATTGAGAAGCTTGTTGAAACCGTTGTAGTGCGCGATTTAACTCACGTAGAGCTTTGAGTTTCTCGTCAGCGGGCAGTTCAAATTTCTCGTAACCAATGTGAAATAAAAACGTTAGTATCTTCGTTAGGAGTTTGTTTCATTAGTTTTCGTTGCGCGAATCGTGCTCTACGTGAAATGGAGATGTTGCATGTGTGAGGGATTTGCGATTTGACCATTGATTCTTAAGTAAAAGTTCGCGAGAAACACGATGGTGCGACTGGTTTTTTTTTTAAATCAACTCCCAAGCTCAAAAAAAGCTCTCAAGTTGAGGCCAAAATGGAGGGGATATCCCGCCCTTCCCTGAGAGCCCACGTCTACATCAAGACAAACTCTCCATGCAAAGATAGGGAGCAAAGACATTAGCAGGGTTGCCGTGTTTTCAGTTTTAGAGTCCCCAATTAAAGTTGCAGCCCTGTCAACGTATTTGCTCCCTATCTTTGCATGGAGAGTTTGTCTTGATGTAGATGTGGACTCTCAGGGTAGGGTGGGATATCCCCTCCATTTTAGCCTCAACTCGAGAGCTTTTTTTGAGCTTGAGAGATGATTTCAGAGAAAACCAGTGGCACCATCGTGTTTCTCGCGAACTTTCACATAAGAATCACCAGGCAATCCGCAAATTCCTCACTAATGCAACATCTCCATTGCCGATCGACTTGAAGGTTTATGTTTTTGTGTGCAGGTTCAACGCGTTCCTGAACCGGGAGAAGGCGCGGCAGGTGATCAGCATCCGGGAGAGCGACTCGAGCCGCGGGTGGGGCTACTTCACGCACTGCGCGGCGCTGAGCGTCCTGCTGGCGGTCGTCGTCTGCGAGGCCCCGCTCGTCTACGACTTCTCGCTCGTCTACCGCGGGAGCCTCGACATCGCCGTCCTCGTCAGCGTCCTCGGCGCCATCCTCCACGTCTTCCTCTGGGTCCTCCTCTGGCTCATCCTCACCATCAAACAGGTAAAAACCAAACGACGTACCTCATGGTTTTTCAAAAAAAAAAAAAAACCCGCACCTACGTCGATCCAAATCATAGAGTACATAGAGTCGTAATGTAGAGTCCCTTTATACTGAGAGTCAAGACAATTCGGCTCATGGATGTCACAAACGGGAATAAAGATTACAGAAATTGAACGTTTTTCGTAATCTTTGATCGGCCCATTCTCCAATGCCTTTCTCCGTTCCTCCTCTCATTCCGTTTGTTCCTTGCCGAATCCGTAATTCCCTGGTCCATTCCAGATTATAATCTTTGCAATTGGTGAAAATGTAATCTTTATTCCCGTTTGTGACACTGTGGAGGCCTAAAATACGGGAACCAATCAGAAATGGATTCAAATTGTCTTGACTCTCAGTATAAAGGGACTCTATCGTAACGTAAATCGGAGAGCTGGCGCCATGTTCTGCTGGACGAGCGCCAAGCCCGGTGTGCGCCGAGTTCGGGTCACTTTTTCGATACATGTTCGATCCAAAATGGCGGTGTGGAATACGTGGTGATTCCTGTCTTCTTTGTTTACATCGGATGGCCGGGTACCCGTGTATGGCAAACAATCGATTATGTATCGAAAAAGTGACCCGGCGTCACACAGGAGTCTCGGAATTCGGGACATGGAAAATGCTCAAAAGTAGCGCCAGCTCACCCACCTACATTACGACTCTATGTACTCAATGATCCAAATAAACGTATTTCTGCCAAACTGAACTGTGTGCATTGAGATGTGAGCCCTGAGATCCATAAGAATATATCGACGGTGTACTTAAGTCGGCAATCACATAACTCTTTTGCGGTGTCTGAAAGTCTCCGCCTCTACGTCATTTTTTTAAAGGAGAACAAATTGACATTATTTCTTTAAGTTTTTGCAGAATTTTCTTCGCGCTGAGAAGAAAAATCATGACAGTTATAAAGAATTGCCGTTGAGTAGTTTTCCATTTAAAAAATAAAGTATGACAGGAAGTCTGCGACGTCCCAAACCGAGTTATGTGATTGCCGACTTACACCGTCGATATGTGTAACAGGGCTCACGTCATAATGCACATAGTTCTGTTCGGCAGAAATACGCCCAAATAAGGGCAACCGACTCAATGTAACATGAACACAGCCGTGCTAAGGAAAAACGTTGTATGAACCTTCAGGCTTTGCCAAATTTCCTCTGATAAAACGCGAATTTTCTGGTAAATTTATGAAACTTTTCCTCCCAATGTTTCGGATAATTTAGTTCGCAATTTTACCTAAAGCTTCTGAAAGTTTAAAGGAAAAATATACATGACTTTCCTAAAAAGTAGACATATTATCGAAGGAAATTTGGCAACTCTCGAATGTACATACAGCGTTCTTCCTGAGTACAGAAGAATGGGGGAAATGGGGGATTGTAGGTGATCCTCATGCGGAGCCTATCCGTCTGGACCTTGATCCATTACCATCAGGTCGAAGGGAGACCGTTGAAGGCGCTCTGAGCAACTATTCTGCCTCGAAAGTATTGCACAGTATCAAACGAAATTGAAGGCGCACTAACGAATGTAAATTGACTGGTGTCGTTCACCACTGCGTTCTGTATCCGTTTGTAAAATGAAGCTTTTGTTTTTGTTTTAACTATGCCAGAGAGAGTTTTTCATCAAAATTTCAGCTTCCACTTTTTCGGCACGACTCGAAAATATTTTCCACTGGAATTTCTTTCTCCGCGGATCGAATGTCCCTTTTTTCTGAAAAATCATGAATAAATAAATCACGGAGAAAAATTAAATTAGATTTTCTCCCATATTATTCACTAAGTGACTATTAAATTACCAGAATACGGTTAAATTACGGGGAATCTTCGGTGATCGGTAACATCGAGAATTTCGGCAGAACAGGAGACAAGCTTATAGCGTTACGTAACAAATCCGAGCCATGCTCGGGGAAAAAACTTTGAAATAAACGAGCAAAATATTGAAAATCCCGCCCTTCCCGAATGAATCTTCTCACACTTTAGTTGATTCTTCCCGTCGCATCAACTATTTCTGCGAAATATCTCCAAAAAAAACTCGATTTTTGTTCAAGGTCTTTTCTCAACATTTTCTTGATTTTTTGAAAATTGGTATGACCCGCGGGGGCTCAAGCCAGCGTTACGTAATTCAACAGATGGGTGTGAGGCTGCGGTACGGGTGCGTTACAAGGGAGCAGAGGGGTCAAAAAATCGGGGGAAAAGGGTTACGTAATACTTAAATTGGACGTATTTATGCTGAAAGGAACTATGTCTCACGCAATCCCTATGCTCATAGTTCCTTAAAGTTTCTTTTATACTGCATTTAATCCCAATATGTTATTCGATAAGTTAATACGTTGAACGTTCAATATGTTATTTTAATAAGTTTATTCTGCTGCGATAAGGAAGAACGGCGTATGAGCCCTCAGACGTTGCCAAGTTTCCTTCGATAAAAACCGAATTTACTGGGAAAATCGTGACTATTTTTTTCCAAAAAATTCAGACAGTTTTGTACGCAATTTAATATAAAATATCTGAAAATTCCGAGGGAAAATACACATTGGTGTCGTTAAAAATACATGCTTCATCAAGGGAAATTTGGCAACCCTCGAATGTTCATAAGGCGTTCTTCCCTAGCACAGCAGTATTGCACTGTGCTGCTACGGCCCTCCTAATGACCATGAAGGAAAAAGCGTAAAATTGTTTGAAAATTGACCCTCTTGGCCGCATTTTTCAGGAATGGGTATTCAAAGTGCGAGTGACGATAGGGCGAGCGGCGGTTCGGTCGGCCAAGTCGATCAAGCTGGTGACGGACGTGGATCTGATCGCCTCGACCGCGGAGGGCATGGACGCCCCGCTCCTGGTCGTCGGCGGTGGAACCACCTACACCGTCACGGACACCTCCCCCAAAAAAGCAATCATGAGTCTAGTCAAGAGTGCCAACTCGGAATCTAACGACAAGAGTCCAGGTAAGTTAAATCACCCTCTTTTTCCATGCAGCGGGCTGATTATTGAAATTGATAAACAAAGCTATAGGCAACGTAGACACAGGAGCGATCCTATTGATTGAAATGGATGGTTCTTATAGACTAAGAAGGTAAATGGACCACTAGACAAGGTACGAATTTCAGCATTCTGATACTTGCGTCTTCACCAAAATTTCACGTAAAACACGATGCGCACAATGAAAATCACCGAACTCAACTTCTCCCGAAGATATTTAATGATTCTTAGTGCGTGAATTGAATCCACCCGCTCATGAAAACTCAATGCTCTACGTGATTCACATCGCGCGCTAAACGTTATCATGAACGTCTCTGCGATAAAAAAATCTGGCAACCTCAATCTTGACGCTTTGGCTCAGCTATAGCAAATTACTTATAGTTTGAAAAACACATGATGGGAAATGAACATTGCTCGATTGAGAAGCTTGCTGAAACCGTTGTAGTGCGCGATTTGACTCACGTAGAGCTTTGAGTTTCTCGTGAGCGGGCAGTTCAAATTCCTCGTAACCAATGTAAAATAAAAATGTTAATATCTCCGTTCGGAGTTGATTTCAGTAATTTCCGTTGCGCGAATCGTGTTCTACGTGAAATTCTGGTTAAGAAACATGTATCAGAATGCTGAAATTCGTACCTTGTCTAGTGGTCCATTATGGACTAGCTTAAGGGTTTTACACAATCTGATTGCGGTGGACGCACGGGTCATGAGTATGTTGGAGTTTTTTTCGCCAACGTGCGTTAAAAATTCAGCTTTAAGCTGAAATTCTCTTTACAGAGAGAGAAGCTCATCCGAGCACTGATTTCCCCCAAAGAGATACGCTGTTTGAAGCAACACTAGTTACGCCCTTTCAGGAAGGCATCTGCAGACGCGTATCGGCCTTGTTGGGCCAATCCTCAGTGCAGTGCAGCCTCCTGAATTGTATGCTACCAAGCTCGAGAGAATAGCTTGGTAGTTGAGGCTTTCTTGGTCTAGAAAGCCACCATAAAACGCGATAGTAAAAAGTCACACGACAAAATTCGACACGACACGCAACGTTGATGTTTCAGAATGCAACTAAGCTTGCTCAACGGATGTCCTTGTTGCATATTCGAAAACTTGAAGGCGTTTCCGTTATCCTTGCGTTCACAGCGACGAGCCGTTTTAATATTGAATATTTCCTAATTTCCGAGGATCATTTGCGCTACTTTTACCTCTCTTATCATGAGACAACTTTCTGAATTTCACCGGGGGAGAGGAAAAGAAGGGAAGCAGAAAAAGCTTATTCTTTGCCATTTTGGCGAATTTTGTAGGAAGTTTTTTTTTTTTTTTTTCAATTTTCGATAAAATAATGTTTCCCTGTTCAATTTCAGGCAAACCAACTACTTTAACAGATGATGGCGAGGAGCAAATCTACTGGTTAAGGCCGAAATCCAGAACGCCAAAAGGATCTCCAGATTCTGAATCGTCAGATCGGATGGGTTGGCTAACCAATAAATCCTGCAGAGTTGCTGTTGACTTCAACCAAAAGTAAGAGCAAATAAGATCATCAGTTGTATTGATAATGAAAATGATTTTCTGGCTAGGATAATAAATTTGTCAAAAATTTTTGTGTCTCCTATTCATAAGCTGTCTTCGACCCAAACCAAAGCTACACAATGCAATAAAAATACTGAGGCAATACTGCAATTTGATAAAATAAAATTGCGATTATTTCACAATGAAATCTTAATATTTTTACATCATTTGGTTAAAATTCCACTCGTTATGAAGATAAATAAAATGCGTTTTATATGTGAGAAACGTAGACAATTATGATGCAAAAAAAGTTGCAGCCAGTTTCAATTTTTCCTCATTAAATTTACGAAAAAGAAACCCCTTCAACAAGTGAATTGGTAACATACGATACGATAGCAATAGTTTTACCGTGAAATTGCTATTCAATGCAACATCTGTGCTACTTATTGGTAGCAAACATATTTTTAAGGTAAGACCCTGCTCAATGGTCAAAATTTTCATGACCGTGTTCCTAGAGCTAAACAATTTTAAAGAATAAAATCAGGGCCGGATTAAAAGGGGGGCCATATGGGTCGCGGCCCATGGCGGCAAAATTAAGGGGCGGCAAATTTTGCAATTTTTTTAAATGCAGGTACGGAAAAATCGGTAACGACACGTAATTTAAAACACGTAAACCAAACACGTAATTTGGCCTGGAGCGGCGCGACGCAAAGAGAAATGATGATGAGGACTTGAGATGAAAAGGAGAAGCCCTCGACGCGGCGGTCGGCATGTAACACATATTAGCGCCTACGAGACTGCATGAATACTTCACGCATTGGGTCAAACACAGTACGGTCAACAGCGGTCAGCGCGGCGTGAAACGCACAGTGCCTACAAGACTACATGAATACTTCACGCATTGCGCCAAACACAGTGTGGTCAGCGCGGCACGGCGGCGGAAGTTAAAATTATTAAACTACATTTATGTTTGTTCTTTCTTAATTTTTTAGTTCATTTCGTACAAATGAAAGGCCTTGTCCCCACAGAGATAGGTTTACGGAACTGAACTTTCGCGCGAAGTTCCGTGAACGTTTGCTAGTAGTGTTGACAGGGCTTACGCAAAAAATGTGTCCAACACAAGTGAACGCGTCTGATGCACTCTTCTCCCTCCGACACGTCCACTTCATGGTTTTTATTGATGTTTCAAAATGAATGAGAAGAGCGCGGCAAAATACAGGCGGCCCATGGGCGGCAAGTACGTAAATCCGGCCATGATTAAGATAAAATTGCTGTCTTTTGAGATAATTTATTATTATTTTCGTTTTTGGCAGATCTGATGGAGAGGTGGGCAAGAAGAAAAACCGTCAGTCAGGTAACTTTGATGATGACGGGGACTACGCTCGGTTAAGAGAACTTCCGCCATTCAATGGAGTTCCTGCTCCGACAGAGCAGAGTGAAGACACAGGTTCCGAGGACAATAAGGTGCCTTTTTAACCACCATTATTTTGGACTTCCATGCTAACTTGGTTCACTTCACTTGATTTCTATTTAATTTTTTTTACTTTGGCAGTACATTTCATTTTTCATATCCCCCTCCCAGTTAATCTTCTCTGCGAAGAATGTCAAACTGCGATTTATTCGGAGGCTTGGATGAAATGCTTTGGGCCGAAATTCAATCATTTTACATGCTCTTACATATGTGTACATATTCTACCAAAATCACTCTCACCACTCATTTTCAGTTTCGGTTTACCTAATTTTGCAGAGGTGCTATAATGTCTGAAAATAAAATTTAAAGCTCTTAATTTTTTTCATTTTTTGTGATCAGAGAACATCAATTAACTTTCTAAAATCCCTGAATCCTACATTCCTCTCATTATCATTCTAAGCTCCTAATGCCAACCTCCCCCCCCCTCCCCTCTGGGACTCATTCATAACTGATGTCTTGCTGTTAGTACTTGTAAGAAACTTTGCAATTAGGAAATATAAATTAGCTCTTACACAGATTTTTTAGCAAAATCGATTGAAATATTTCCAAAAAATTTGCGCTTTACAGTACTACATCATGCAGCGCAATGGGTGTTCTCTCCCTCAGTCGCGCTGACTTAACCAACCCTTCCTCTTCTGCATGACATAATTCATAAACATGCCCCCTCTTCGACATGTGAACTTAAAGAACTTGTCATTGAAATAAAAATCATTCATGAATTAATGTCATGTGAGGAAAGTGGTTGTTGAACTTGGTGTGAGAGACATTGGTGTTTGGTTGCAGCTACTGGACAGAGTGAGGGACGAAAGTGTAACGTACGCGTCTAATAAGCATCCCCAGCCGCACCCAAAGGACTACGAGGATCCAAGCCCCCTCCTCACTCCAGAACCGCAAGACGATTACCTACCTCCCCCTCCCCCCATATCACCAGAACCAAACTCACAACAAAACACGAGTAATGATTCACAGGTAAACATCTTACATGCATGCTCTCGCTTTCTGCACTAATCTTCATGAGTCTCACACTATATGCACCAATCATACCTTACTATCCTTCATGGTCACAACTCACTCCTTTTCCAGGAATTGGCAAGCTTGAATGGACTTCATTTTGCAATAAAAAACCACTATCTCTAGCTTATCCATAAAAGCACCTACTTATTTGAGCAGGGAAATAAACAGCATATATGTTGTTTCTAAAGTGAGTCAAAAATAGTGGTTCCTTTCTGCGAAATGTAGTCCAAATCTCAGCATAGGCTGCAATTCCATCATTTTGCATTAGACAAATCTCACCGGGCCTCAAAGCCAGTAAAACCCGTCTCACACTATCTCTCATACTGTTGTCCAACTCTCTTTTTCTCCTTCTAGTGTTTGATTCCTTCCTGTTTTCGCCCTTTTTGGTATTGTGTTCTTCTGCTTCCTGATTTTGCTCTTCTAGGAAACTAAACGAAATTACTCTTTCGTGAAAAAGCTTCTCGTTGGTTGGAAATTCTCTTTTTTTGTTTGTAGGAAGTTACTAAATAAGGTAGTAACTGCTTGGTAAACTATTTATTGCGGAATAATTTTACGAATCGTTTTCAAAGAAAATGACTTATTTGCTTTTCTTAATTTCAAATGATAAATGGTATAAAAACAAAAAAAAAGTCCTGATCATTAAATTATTTTTGTTTAAAAAAAAAATGTAGATTCTTGGGATTTATACATTATCGCCAAAAAAATGTCAGGAAAAGACAAAACTTCCTAAATTATCTGTAGGAAGTTTTGGAGGTTATTTCAAAGAGGACACAGCAATGTTTACACTTATTGTTTCTTTTCGTTTTGTGTGAGCTTTCAGAGGTAGGTATTACGTAGAGCAGAAATGCAATGTTTAAGTCTTGACCGGGAAAAAAAAAATACTTTTGATTTGACAGGGATTACCACGGTGTTTGCAGCGAGCAGATTCAGGTATGGCACAAGAAGAGCTGACGCCCCGCTCGGACTCGATCAGTACAGTAGGGTCAGGAGGCTCGCCACCCGACTGCAATGGCTCCAATAGCGAGAGCTCCAGCGGTGTCCACTCCAACTCCAGCCACAGCAGTGGTATCGGGAGCCAGGGGGACAAGAACGGCATCGGCAGCTCAAGTGAGGCGGTGCACCGATGGAAGGCTAATTCTTTGCAGAACAAGCTCCAGGCCATGAACAACAACATGATGAACATGGTCAACAGCCGGCACTCTCTCAACGAGCCCCTCTACAGCTCTGGAGTCTACCGGCCGCAACAGATCTACGCAGCCACCAACAAGGGCGCCCCTGTCATCAATGAGGTATATTCAGGTTTTAACAACATTTGTTAGTATCAGGGCAAACGAAGGGGAAAACACGACTTGCCAGCAGTGTTTCAAAATTATTGCTCATGTTCAATCCCTCCGAGAAAATATTATTGATTGAGTACTTTTCATGGGATTTTTTAAGAATGATCTAGAAATGCACACAAAATTCTAGGCGATGACAATGGTTTGTTAGTTGTCCTTTAGATGGGTAAAATATCATGAGAAATCTGCAGGGTTGCAAATCAAGATACATTAATCCTAGTTTCACCCTTAAGAAGAAGGCATAAGTGTTTTTAGAAATGAGTCAGTTTCACCCTTTATAAATATATGTATCTGCCAGTCATACTTCTCTTTCCTTAAAAATATACCTTCACTTTATTCCATTCTTTGCAATTAGCCTTTTTTTTTTACTTTTAACAAAATCATTATAAATGTGAACTAAAGTAAGAAATACCTAAACACTAAAGCACCATGCAGTTTTGAAAGTCGCTCCATACTCTTGGATAACCTGAGCATTCATTGAGTAAGATGCACTCAACTAAATGGCTTAGTTTTCAAGTTCTCACTAAGCATCGCAGCTCTTGCACGCAGTTGTTTTGTTAAGGTAAACGCATACCAATAAATTTAATTTTGTGTATCGCTCACAGGTTACGCATAATAAATGTGGCGCTTTTTTAGAACATCTTGTCTAATTTTTTACAGGTTGCTGAGGAAAACACAGTGGTAATCAGGCGGAAGCCGATGATCAGGCCAAAAACAGCCGAGATCTACCAGCAGACGGGGCCACGCGATGCCTTCGGACGATCGACAAATATCCGTCTCACATCGTTCATGGACTTGCCAGACTCGAAAAAATCAATCTCCACCATGCCGCACTTCCCAACGCAGCCGATGGGCGTCTCATATCCAGTTTGTTCGACGATGCCCCTGCCCGCGCCCAATCACCTGCACGCTACAGCTCACCTCGACGGAGGTGTCAGCTACAGCTCGTTTCCCCGACCGAGGCAGCATACCACCATCCCGGTCCACCACAATGGCGTTCGCCTCTTCAATCCCAACTCCCCTTGCAAGAGGATCCTACCTCAGTCTCAGTATCAAGTTAAGGCTCCCCTTAGGGAGAATGGTCACAGCTGCCCTATGTCTAACTACTCACACAACCATCACACCTTCCCGCAGTTACCGATAAATGTTGAGTCTGCTACAATGCAGCACGACTCCAATCATTTTAACTCCCTTGTCAAAATCGAGAGCACAGCAAGGTCGTAAATTGACGTGAGAACGGTGATCAAATGAACTTTACTCTTCAATTGGCGACTACAATTTCAGGCTCATCCATAAAAACAATTACATGTTTAGGGAAACTGATGGAACATACATTGCTCTTAAACTGAGCTAGATTTTGTATTTCCTTATTGCAAAATGTAATCCTATGAATAGAGGTAGCAAAGGGTGGGGAATCACGACCAGGAAAAATTCAATGAAGCTGAACTCAGCATAAATTTCCGTGGTTTGAAAAGTCGAAAGAATTTTGAGGGCATTTGTGTAGAAGTATCTTGTTTCTCCACACTCTGCTTTGTTTTGTATTGTTGAGTAGAATAAGAAATTTATGAGAGGTAGGTTCATGCATCTACCTTGTGCTTTTTAAGACTTGTGTAAAGACTGTACATTTTTTACCTTTTATTTTAAAGAAAAAAGAGAAGATCACTCGGAGAACCTTTTGCAATATTGACTGAGGTTGCATTGTTGTGTTCTAAACTCTAGTAACTAGGGGACTCTATTCGAAAATAACCCACTTTACAATTTTAGCACTTGGTATTTGGCTAAACTTCTGAGCTTTTCACCACTTTGCATTAATATTAGAGGTCCTATCGATGATACCTTTAACATTTTGAGAAATTTCAATCAAAGATATCACTTAGTTACATCATTTTTCAATTTACAAAGTGAAAATCTAAAACACAACAATACAATCAGACTGGTATTGCTGAATGACATCCAAATGAATGATTTTCAGAGTACGATGTGTAATTAATCTAGTCTTTTACTTCCCTTGTAATTGTATGTTAGAATTAAATAAATATTTGTATTTTTAACGTTATCTTTTTCAGTCATCCGCATTTGAAAAAAATTTAAGGAGGAAAGGAAGAGAGTTAATCTTCTTTGGTCTACAATGAGTGATTGCTTGTGAGAAATTTCAGAGTAACAGACCCATTTAGTTGAATGATGATTCATTTTTTACTCCAGAAGTTTTTAAATTGGTAGCAGAATTATTTTCGACTAACGATCTTTAAGTATCAAAATGGAGACTCTCAATACCTTTAATTAGAGTCTCACGGCTAAACTAATTATTGATGTGATCTAACCCTCAGTCTACATGGGTCAGGTGATCTTTTTAATTGAATGGCGTAAAAAACTTTGGTAAAATTTCTTCAGTTTCAGTGGTTTATGTTCTCTTGCACAAATGAAAGCTTCATTTTGTGAAATTAATTGTGATTAAAATTGGAAAGGTCTTCAGAGTGCCATAATTTTTTATTAGGTTTTCACTACTTTTTGTTTGCAATTGGGTGCTAATAAAAAACTGCCTCTAGAGAAACCCTCACCAATTCTTCCTTTGTGAACGCCGGACAGGTTGCAAAAGAGAGGACCATTCCTCTTTTAGATAATTAAAACAATTTGGTCTTGTCTTATTATGTGTTATTTTTTACTTCTTTTGTAATTAGTTTGTACATACATTTTTTTGTAAATATTGACTGTACTGAAGAGCACTTTTCCAAGATTAGTGAAAAATATTTGGAGAAATTCTGCACTGAAAAATTTCCTCAGCTCAGGGAAGCAGTAAATCGACCGAAAATTTGTATTTCAGCCTCTTTCAAAGAACAATTGTATGATTACATAAGTATGATTCATTCAATCACTCACATTTCAATGCTTGACTGCCACATATTGATCTGTCTATTTTGGTGTCTCGTAGAATACTTCAAGGCTTTTTATTTCTATCTAAAGAAGAGCAAACCTATATTTTTTGCTCACTATCTTTCAATTTATAAGTGAAAAATAATTTCTTGTGTTGTACACACAGCATTACTAATTGGGCGGATTGAACCAGAAGCCGCCTAGAACAGTGGCGTGGTGTGAATTGCTATACATCGATTGATATGTAATTTAAACCTATGGTAAAGAATCGATTATTAAAGTGTTCGCTGCGAACACCCTGTTTATCGATCCTTTTCCATAGGTTTAAATGGCAGATCATTCAATATATCGCAAAGCACGCCATGCCACTGGCCTAGAAGTACATCAGACATCACCAAATTTCCTCTCAAGTTTTTTATTTCTTAGATAGAAAATTAGGGAACATTCCCCTTTGAAATTTTGAGTGTATACTCTGTGTATTTTAAGGAATATTCACAGAAAGGCTCAAGGCGATATGTTTTTAAGTTTTCTGTTAAGAACATAGAACACCAGAGAAAATGAGGCAAGGTGAATAGGACTACATTTTGCAACGAGGAATTACAATCTCTGGCTCATTTTAGAAACAACATACGTGCCATTACTTTCCCCATGCAGATAAATGTTTTTTACATATGAGCCAGAAATCTTGATTCCTTATTGCAAAATGCAGTCCAATTGCAGTTACACTGATTTCAGATAAATCCGTCACATTGTATGCAAATGCATACTAATTGGACTTTAATTTGCAATTGGGAATTGAAATTTCTGGCTTATCCGTGAAGACATGTATGAGCATAGGAAAAGTAATGGTACTCACGTTGTTTCTATTCCCAGTCAGTAATTATAGTTCTTAATTGCAAAGTGTGTTCCAGTTCTTGTTGGTGAAGCATTGAGTGTTCCGTTATAAGTTTATGGTAAAATTATTAGAGACTGCACATTTTTGCTTTTTTTTTTTAAAAAAAAAAAAAAAAATAAGATAACGCTATATTAAAGAATTAAAGTGACCTCTTGTCATACCTTACAAATGCAATTTTATAATCATATAAAAACATGTATTGTACGTATCATAACTTCTCATTGTTTCTATGGACTTCTCACTGTCAGCCTATCAGTCTTACACTATGGGAACTTTGAATTTATTCTTAGTGAGAGAGATCTCTTTTTATGAATTCAGGAAGTTAACAGTCTTTCTTACCTCTAAACTTAATCTTTCCGAGAAAGGTATTTCAAAATTTTGTTAAATGAAGGGCTGATAGACAAAATCCATTCTGAACCATTTTTGCATCTATCTGTCCTCCAGAATTTCATGAATGAAACAAGTATGCACACCAAGGAAAGTAAAAAATCAATGTCTGCGCTCGATGACAGCAATTATTGGCAACAAGTTGTGCATAGACGATTAGATGGCATCATTTTTTTCGTGAAATTATCTATTTTATTGGTCTCAGTCAAGAATTTCCTTTAACCTATTATTCTTTGCTTTGGAAAAACTGTCCCATGTTCTGCCAAAAAATTCTTTCAGGCAAAGGAAAATTTAAAAAAAATCATTTATTCAAAATTTGTCTACAGCCTGATTGCGAAAAACCTTCATAAATACGTAAGAAGAAAATGGAATGAAAATCTCACCAGCACATTGAATGACAAGCCGGAAATGACTGTTTCTATTCATTGTTAACATTCCAATTTGTCTCTTTATCACTTCTCTTGTACCTTGGCATACCTAACCATTTCATTTCTTGAAAAGTTCCACAACTTTTTATTCCTTCATAAAATCAGCCATTGACATTCTTTTAATCCTATAAAAAGTAAAGAGGATTTTCTCTTTCATTATAAGAATTAAAAATGAGATGAACAGAGGTGATTTCCGAAGAGTCTTTTGTTCCTTCTATTTACGGAAAGGAAATCTAATTTTTTTAAGCCACTCTCCATTGATAAATTTAAGTTAACGCACAAAATAGTAAAGCGAACAATAAAATTTACCTGATTTAAGAATCTCAAAGAATTACCTACATAAGAAATAGTATTTTTTTAATCTTAGTGCAGTTTATTTTTACTTTTGTATTTTTACAAGATTTTTTTAGGTAAGGTATCTCAAGAAGAAAGCATTTAACCAAGAAAAAAAGGGCTAAGGTTATTTTATAATTTTAAGTGCTATCAGAAACAAATTAGTTATACCTCACAAAATTACTGATGGAGCTACTTTGTATGAATTCAAAAAATATTTAATGCTAGTAAACTTTGAGGAAGTAGAAATTGCAGAAATATCAAATGTTTTTTAATAAAATCTTTTTATAAACGTAAAGTATTTCATATCTGACATTCAGAATAATTTATTGTAAATTTAGGAATACTTTGCCATTGATTTATTGATTTTTTAAGCTTATCAAATGTGTTTAAAAAAAAACTAAAGAAAAGAAGTCATGGCAAAAACTAAATGACTTACTAAAAGAAAATAAAGAATTATCCAAAGTAAAGTTTGAAATCCTTTGTTTTTAATTTTGACCTTTTCTTCGAAAATAAGGAGCCTGTAGGAATCAACAGCTGCTACAAAAGAGCTCAAGTGACAAAACCTCTTGAGCTTCGGTTTCCCTTACCCATCAACATTCCAGCAGCTTGCGAGTTTTTGACAATGGGACCTTTTTATTGATAAACTCGGTCAATTAGTATATTGTGATGGAGCCTATAAAGAAGGAGATGGGATTTCAGACATCTTGGAGAGAGGTTAATGACGTAATTTGGTTCAGATTTTTTTTCATCAATTTTCTAAAAAATGGGCTGGTTTGTGAAAAAAAGTCATGCTTCAAAAATTGTTTGTAATCGTGTGTTGTGTTGTCTTGCACTAAAAACTACGCTTGTTTCGTTTCATTTTCCATGCTTGGAATTTCGGATTTTGCAGGAATATTGACACCATCGTATCCGCTTACGTCACGGAATATATAAATCGGAAATTGCCAGTCCCTTGGAAATAGTTGAGCATCTCCTATAATTTGAAAGAAAAAAAAGTCCTGCTCTTGAGAACTCTTGAGCAGCAAGGCTTCTTCTGTAAAAGACCATTCAATTTTGAAATATTGCGAACCAAGAATTTCTTCCTTGAGAGAGCTATTTTCATACACCAGCTGATTGATAATAGTGCTGAGTTACCATAAAATTTGTGAGAAAGAAAAATAAATTCAACTTACGTTTGTTTCGAGGTACTTAACTTATAATTGATAAAAAATTTTTGAAAAGCAACAATAATTATGATACATTTGAGAAGGCACTATGTACAGATCACGAAAGCATGTCATCATCCGATATGTTATAGGTCTGAAAAAAGAATGGAAAAAGAAGAAAAAAGGTTAGATCATCAAAATTAAAATTTGTGTGCAAAATGAGCAGAGTTCGCCAGGGTGGCCATAGATTTTAAAAGGAATACCAAAAAAGTTAATAAAAAATGGAAACTTTTTAAAATCAATTCCGTCTTTTTTCAATTACATCCAATTTGATTTACAGGGAAAAAAGTAAGAGTGGTGCTTTTTGCTCCCAATTCAAGGTGTGCAAAGGCTAGAAAAGTTGGATAAAATTACTCGGCTCATAAAATAAGAACAATTGGGCTACTTTAAGAGGCAAAAAGAAACCAGGGGTTTTTTTTTAGCAGTAAAGAGTCTAGTCATAAAATGGTCTGTGTAATACTTCAGGGAGCACATTCTAAATCCATAAGCATTTATTTCTTTTCTGTAAATTAAATTGCACTCTTTAAGCGGGAAAAAATCATTTTAAAATGGACGCTAGGTAAATATGTAGTGTTTTTTTAAGATATTCAATTGGACCCAGTTTGATAGAAATGCACCAAGTCGCATTTTGGAAAGAACAGGAGTGGGAAAAGTTTTCAATTCAATGAGTCAAAAATTTTCTCCCGTCAAGAATTTGGAGTGGAGAAAAAATATTCTGACTGTGACAAAAGTCGTCAAACTTTCGTCTTGACATTGAGTCTAATGAAAGAGTTAATCTCCAAATCTCTCTTCTTTGATTTGATCTCAATGTAGCTTGGTACTCTCCTGTAAAACTTGGTCTACTGATTTTAATAAAAATACGCAATAAATGAAAAACACCATTCAATATAAATTTTTATACATGAAAATTTTCTTTCGGCTGAATATTAAAATTAGAATTCGATTCACCAATCTTGATGATGGACTATAACCAAAGTCGATTCTTCTTCGCTCAATAGTCCTCATTTGTTAGTTTAAAGAATACTATCAAAAATAGATTTAACGAGATACATAATTTAAATTACATAACTTACACTTGGATCATCATCGTTATCATCATCATCATCCAAGTCGAGATTATCCAAGTCAAGATCTATTTCATCCTCAGGAGGTTCTTGGATCGCAGGAGGAGCCTGTACTTTGGGTTGTGGCTGAGGTTGAGGGGCTGCGCTGACGACAGATGGAGGAACAGAAGAGGGGGAACTGAAAGAAATTAGCTCTTCTTTGTCTTCGGGTTTTGCACTGGAACTGCCTGTTGTGAAAAGAGAGACAAAACGTTTAATATTCCCATTTAAACAAAACAGAGCATGTTTCTTGCGCCAATATATTATGAATATTGTGTGACCAAAAAAAATCAATGGCATGTTCACCACAACTATTCACTGCTTCATGAGGGATTTTATTACGCACATATAATACAATCTAAATCGTAATGAAACTCACTTTAAGATGAGCTAGGGGGATAAACATCGATGGTGAAACTGCTGAAACGCATATCTTGATTTACGACTTTGCAGACTTTCTATCATACTTTATTTTCTACATCAAAAACTACTTTATGTAGCCCCTTGAAAACTTCGGTGATTTTTCTCCTTCGTGTGAAAAACTTTCCGTGAAAATTTCAAGCCATGATATTAGTTCGGTCTCCTTTTAAAAATTAAATTGAAGCGGAGATTTTAAAACTTTGCAACCAAGATAAGCATTTTTGCAGTTTCATCATCGACATGATGCTTCGTATAAAGTGCTGCAACCTGGTATATGGTAAGTCTTCAAATAATATTGGGTTGCTTTGGTTATCAACAAATTTGAACTGCCACAATAATGAAATGTTATCTCATTTCATTGTAGCAACACAGAAATGTCAAACAAACAAATACACTGTGAAACAAACTTCTATCCTCTCCACTGCAATATTCTTATGCTGACTATAAAACTGAACTCTATTATGGAAAAAAAAAATATTAAAAAAGGAACATACATTGATTATAATAGACAATACGACAAATAAAAATTATAGCAGAGAGCAAACGATAATTCATTCTGCTGAATTAAAATCAAGATGCAAAACAAAAAATAAATAATACGTTGCCACTTGACACACTAAATAATTATTTTTAAAACAGAAAATGAAGCCTACGCTTATTTCAGATATATTTAGATGGCTAAGCTCTGGGAACTACATGCTTGATTGAAATACATATTTTTAAAGTTCTATCATCAATTTACTTAGGCTTTGTTCATATGTGCAGAGTTTTCAGAACTTTGGTGGCATGAATTATAGCTGAGTTTTAACTTGTTCCGTCTATGCACCAAAAAGGGGCGAAAAAAGACGCAGAACTGATAGTTTTGCAAACTTGTTCCGCTGAAGGTTCCGCAAACCGTTGCTCGTATGGACAAGGCCTTAGTCCGGTCTCCTAGGTCTATTACTAAAACCTCATAGAATAATCAGACAAAACCTGAATTACAGCTCTGCCATGTGAATTTTTAGTTCAAACTTTCTCATGGAAGACCATGCTGAAAATAATGTTTTGAGATACCATGCAGTAGAGTCGGTAAAGGCTTTCTGAAAAAGGCATGACCACAGATTTCAAAATTCACTCAATTTGGACACTCTCTACGAGCCTATTCTACAATACAGTGCAACAGACCTAGGAAAATTTCATGATTTGACTATCGGTTGATACGTATTGAAAAAACTACAAAACCTGAAGTAACATTACACTACCAACAAATGGAAAAATGTGTTCTTGGGAAGCTAAATAAAAATACAAACAGCAAAAACGATAGCTACACTATAATTGCGTCAATTTCTCACAGAGTGGCACACATCTGAATTTCTGTTTTCTCGTTTAAGAACCAGCAACATTATATTGCGTAACTTGTGAATACGTCTGATAATTTCAATCATTTCTTCAAACTGCTTATAAATATCACAGAAATTTTTAGGCGCAGCTGTCTTTTGAGTCACACAAGAGATACAGCGGCAATTTTAAACAGAAGTTTTACCCTTGTGTGAGAAATCGACTCGAACTTAAATCTATAGTTGACATACATAATAGAACAGCTGGATCTAAAAAAAAAAAAATGAATCAACGCTAGCAACACATCCAATACTTGACAGAAAATACCTACTTGATTGGGATGAACCTGTATAAAACACTGAGTGCTGGAGCTGCCCTGTTGCTTTGAAGGACAATTCAACGAGGAAACTTTGACCAACTTCACTTTTTTCAATACATACAAGAAGCTGCTCAAATATAAGAATCAATCAAAACTGTGATACTTATCCTTCTTAATATGAAATATACGCACGAAACTTTAGAGAAATTGGTGAAAGTCGAAACCTTCATCGGAAGGAATACCAACCAAATAAAAATTCTCCTGTTTACAGGGGGCTCTCTCCTCTTTTTAACTTGAGATTCCTCATGTTTTCCGCATCTTCAATTTTTACATCAGATTATGATTTGGTGCACAGAGAAACGGAATTTTCCTCGTTGTGTTTCATTGAAGTTGATTTTCCCCAGAAAAGCATAAGATCATTGTTTTTGAAGAGCCGTATGTACACTTGAATTAAATGATGCACAATAGGGTTATTTGTGTTTCGCAGCTATGTAATAATTTTCCCCCGATTTTTGCATCATTTTTTAAAAATACACTTTCAAACTAAATATTTTCTGATTCATTTTTTCTTTGTAAGCTGCTTTTCTACATATTCTTATCTTTTAGGCAATTTGAGGGTACTTGGAGTCAGGGTTCATGTGATTAGCGTAGGGAATGTCAAGCACAACATTTTGGAGCATTACAAAGCGTTATAGAGTGAAAGGGCCTGTTAAAAAGGTGCACATTTAGAGTTAATTAGAGTTATTAAGACATTTAGAGTTACGAACCCTTCGTGATAACTAAGGAGACAAGTTAATTGAGCAATTATTGTGAACTAACCAAAAGCACAGGGAAAATTGCTGAAATTTGTTGGCTTCTCTGTCACTTGGTTCGCTAGGCTGAGAGTTAATTCTTGCAATTTTAGGCAACATTAATGCAGATCATTTTGGTAAAGGTGACCCATCACTTGCGTACATTAAAAATAGTTACAATAAAAACAAAACCCAAAACTGATGATACACCCGCGATACAAAGAGAAAAAAAGTGATAAATCAATAGATGAACCGCTGTGTGCTAATCCCAAAGAAAGCGGTGGATGCCAACCTTCGCACACTTTATGAATGTGATTGGAGATCAACCACATCATTTTTGCATTCAAACAAAATGAGATTATTTGGCAGTTTTCATAATTTTTCATGACTGCAGAAATAGATGCAAAATTAAAGCATTCTTTAGTTTTACTGATTCCGCTGTCTTTGAAGATTAATCTTACTGATACAAGAAATACACTATATAAGTGAATATATCTTGCATGTTTGAATTTTTTTAAACTTTTTAAGAGAATTATCGATTCAATTTTACATTGTAGTATATTTTACATTTTATTTCAGTATTTTTGATAAAAAATTATACAGACAGTTAAGTGTAGTTCTACATGGATGATTTTACTTGTAAAAACGTTGGGAAAGATTTCATACAAATTCAATTGTAACAATACTCTTGGTTAAACAAACATTCTAAGAAAAATTTAAAAAAATGGTACAAAATTTACAACTAGATGTTAAACTAAATTCATACAGCAAAGGTTCTGCTTATAAAATGACTAGGGCTATGAGGAGTTCAAATTTTACACCTATCACCTCTGATTTTTTTAAAATTCCAATTATTACGTTTCTCTCTTTCACTATCCAATTATTAAGTTTCTCTCTTTTACTAGAGGGGTTTCAACAAATTTTTTTTCAGTCAGCTTTCAGCACTGCTTTTTTCGGAATACTGATATACTCTGAGGAGGCCACTCATGTCGGAAGCAGGCAACTTCATAAGAATTGCACTATGTTTCTATCAGTGGGTTGTTTAGCTTGAAAAACTAATTATTTTCGCCAGCTCCAAAAACTCTGATAGCTACTAGAGAGGGTCTTCTCATCGTTACTATTTTTTGATGGAACTGTCTCAATAAATTACTAAAAAAGTAAAAAATGATAGGACACCCTTATTTTTTAACAAACAAAAACATGGTACATCTTGACATTGGAAAAATAAATTAATGCCTGCAAAATTCTTGGTAGAAAAATGGTGGTAAGTGCATATTTTGACGAAAATTTGAAAGCGTTAATTAAACAAAAATATAAAATGGAACATTGTAACGGTTAGTTTTCTTGAAAAGAGCTGGAAAAAGTTTGAGGTTAATCAGGGTTAAAACATTTTATTTCTACAACAAATATGTTTCTATCTTTGCATTAAATTTAAAGCTATGGGAGTGCGAATGTGATTTTTCAAACGTACGTTGCTCACAGACAGTAGATAAGAACTGTGATTCGTGCTGTTAACTTACAAAAGCATGGTAAAATTCAGGCCAAAGAGAGACTGAGCACGAAAACGTACCACTAGACTGCTGTGCCAAGGAAAAACGCTGTATGAACCTTCAGGCAGGGCCAAATTTCCTTGGATAAAACGCAAATTTCCTGGTCAATTTATGAATATTTTCCTCCCAATTTTTCAGACAATTTCGTTCGCAATTTTACCTAAAGATTCTGAAAATTTAAAGGAAAAGTATTCAGAACTCCTGAAAAATAAACATTTTATCGAGGGAAATTTGGCAACTCTCGAATGTTCATGCGGCATTCTTCCTTGGCACAAAAGTAGACAAGGCACAAATTTAAGCATTCTGATACAATCAAAGTCTTGCGTAGAACATGATTTGTAGGGCAAAAATTACTGAAATCACCTTCTGACTGAGATATTGATGTTTTTACTTTACATAAGTTGCGAGAAGTACTTGAATCAAAACTTGCACTACAACAGTCTCGGCAGGTTCTTTAGTGGATCAGTATTCCTTCTCCACCTCTTTTGTTCAAAAGGTTAAAACTGTGCAACAGCTGAGTTGCTTATACTGCCGTGCAAAGGAAGAACGTCGTATGAACATTCGAGAGTTGCCAAATTTCCTTCAATAAAATGTTTATTTTTGAGGAAAGATAAAAATATTATTCCTAAAAATTTTCAGGGACTTTAGGTGAAATTGCGAACAAAATTATCTGAAAAATGGGCAGAAAAATATTCATTAGTTTACAAGGAAATTCGTGTTTTATCAAAGGAAATTTGGCAACACCTGAAGGTTTATACGGCGTTCTTCCTTAGCCCGGCAGTACAGGTTGAGATAGGTTGCCATCTTTTCATATCGCAAAGACTGTTACGATGATGTTTACTGCGCTATGTGAATCGCGTAGACTTTTGTTTCTTCATGATCGAGAGGTTTGAATTTACACATCAAAAAACGTTAGATATCTTCGTTAGGAGTTCATTTCAGTTATTTTGTGTGTGCAAATCAAGTTCTGCATGAAATTCTAAAGATATATCAGAAAGTTTGAATTTGCATCTTGTCTAGTAATCCATTGACGGTTGAGCCAAATTCTCTGTTCCTAACTGCGCAAGAAGGAAAAAAAAAAACAATATTAACCTGCTTCAGAATCAGATTCTTCAGGTTGAGCTGGAGGTACATAGGTGAAACGTCCGCTACTTTCAGCTGCTTTCATTTCTTCTATTGGTTTTCGGTCATCGTTCAACTGTTAAAAAATGAAAAGGCAACAAAAAAATCATTAATCTTACAGAACTCAATTGGAAAAGATTCGAAAGAATAGAAATGAAGAAAATAAACGAAATAGGTAGATTAAGAAAAAATGGGGGGAGAAGGAGAGAGTAAGAACAACAAAATGTAAAATTCATCACTTCCCTTGCAATAGAACAAAGCTAAATTTCAACGCTGCAACATTTCCACTTATAAATGTTTTGTTTCTATTGGAAACTAAGTGGGATTTCGGACTAAACATTTTTCCGATTTTTCCTCCAATTACATGTCAAAGTCAAAGTTCAGAATTTTGAAAAGAAATTGTATGATTAATTTTCTCTGAAAATTGAATTGATTAAATCTTTAAATCTTTCTTCTAAAAAACAGATTTGTTTTATAAAATAAGCTATTATAATGCTCATAGTTTTTTTTAAAAAAAATAAACAAAGCAAAGATGTGCTATCAGATGTTGCTGAAAGAGGATTTCAACGGAATGTAACTTTTTTCATGAATAAAGTTAAAAACTCAAAATCTTCTCATTACGAGGCTAGATTAGATGTGGGCTTAGCCCGCAACGGATATTAGTTACCATCGCCATACAAACAAATAAAAGTGTATTCTGTTGGAAAGAGGCTAAAGTTTTAGTTTACATCCTTCTTCACAGAATCACAAGCAGAGCAAGAAATGAGACTATTTCTTAGCAGCGATTGTTCCATGATGGCAAAATTACTGCACGAAGGATACGGTTCCGCTGAATGCAAATGCTACATTTATGGTAATGAAAGAGTTAACAATTGATAATGCAACATTTTCAACTCCCTGAATAGTTTTCCTCCATGCATTTTGCATTCTGCAGACTTTTCATCACCTACAATCTGGGCATTATCAATCCTAGAAACCTCATGTACAATAAATTACAATCATAACCCTGTACAACCTTGAGAAGGTGTGAGAGAAGAAGTCAGCATTATTTTTATCTTTTCCAAAGAAGAAAGTTGGAATTTGAAGAATATATTACCGGAATGTTGGGAAATGCTCCAGCAGGAAGTGAGCGCTGTCTTTCACTTTTTAAATACTGTTCTGTTTTCAGAAAATCTAAGAGACCTGGGAATAAATTATCGTATTGAGCAGGATCTGCCAATGACTGGCCTGCCTTTGCGCTGACTTTGGTAAGTGATTCTCTCCAAAGTTTCACTACCCGCGAGATTTGGCTCGGCAAATATGTCCTGCAATAAATGAGGGTCAGTTAATTATATGAACAATTTATGCAGTATAAATACGTTGATATTTAATTTGTTGTTATGCACAGTATCAGACCTCTGTCATAGGGAAATCCAGTTCTTTGATTTATCCGTTGAAACCAAATAATAGGATAACCTCAACTACTTGAGGTTTGTGGTTAAGTGGTATGATACGGTTTTAATTTCTAGAAAGTTGCTACTTTGAGACTGTGGGGCATTTCACTGTCATATAACTTTTTTACACTTTAAACTTTTTCCAAATAGTGGATGAGAAATTGGTGAGGCAGTCAAAAAGATGAGGTTACGTAATTATTTGGATCCAATTGCTTGATGAAGACTAATAATGTGTGTAGAGGTGAGTAAACTAAAACCTGAGTGAGTGAAAACAAGGCTAAAATATTAAAACACTTAAAAAGCAGGACGTTTTGAGCTTTCACATGTTCATTTTCAGCTACAAAAACAATCAATACCTATTAATGAAACGTTGAGTTGGGCCTTTGGAGTGTTTTGATATTTTAGCCTAGTTGTATCAATTTTATCAATTTCATTCTCTCGTTTTCATATTTTTAGGCCATGTAATTTGTGCGTTATTGTTAGGCTGAAACCTCAGCTACCAATATTTCACATCTATTTGACGCTCACAAAATTATTTTCTTCTTCATTTGAAAAGAAAATGGATAGCATTACCTCAAGGAGGCTTTTCCTATTTACCAAAGAGGGCCTACTCATTTGAGGACAAGTAAAATAACATTTTCATTATTACCATTTTCGGACTGATTTAAAGATGAAAAATCAGAAATCCGCTGTTTACTGACAGGGAATGTATAACTGAAATAACCAGCTTCATTAAGTTTAAATTAGGTTTAAGGTTAAATATTTTCTATTAAAGTAAGAAAATTGAGGAGTAAAAGAGAGAGAGAATTCAAACCTGGCAAAAAATGCAGCCTCAGGAATCCTGTCGGTGGCAATTAAAATTTCAAGACACTTTTCTAGATCTCCAAGAAGAAGGTATGAAAGGAAAGCCACATTGTTTTTTCCTCCTGAATCGGCACTTTCACCAAGACGGCGAACCATTTCTGCGTTTCCTGGAAAAGTAAACAAAACATTTAACATTAAAAGCAAATGGAAATAAAAACATTTTCTTGAGGTGGTATTAAGACTTAGCAAGAGAAAAAGTGTTTAAAAAGTTTGGGGGAAAGGGTGTGAAAAGACACTAATCAAACACCAATCGTAGCAGAGAATGCCTGGAGCGCCAGATAAGTAATAGGCAGAAAATCGAGGTATTACTGTAATGTGATAAATTATTTCCTTCAACATTCAGTATCATTGAACTAAACAACGTCTCTTTAGGTGTTTGAAGTTATTGCTTTTGAATTAGCTTCCCAAGTACTACCAAGTACTATCCCAAGAAAAAAATCAGAATAGAATAGTTTAGAAGGAAAAAAGGATTTTTTCATAACTTTGACATTAGTCAACAGCTCACTTTTGATTTTGTTATTTCATGGAATTAAAAATCTAAGGAGCTAATCATCGAAAAGTAGAAAATCAAAATATATGGAGGATAAATTACCAGAAGATGTGGCTAACAGCAGAAGTCCAGCAAAATCTTGGGCGTTGTGTAGGCATTCCTGAGCTAGGTCCAGTTTGCCTTGACTCGTAGCAAGTTCTGCTAATTGCCGCCACTTATGCGTGCTACCTGCATCTTCAGCTAAGCTCAGAGCAACTTCCAAATCGCCCAGTTGAAGCGCTAATTCAAACCTATGCTCTGGATCTGTAGATATCACTAACGCTTGTTGCTTGAAACCCTGGCAATAGAATTACAAGTAATTTATGAGTGGCATTTAAACAATGAATCTAACACCAAAAAATAATAATCGAAAATCTTTGCTAGTTGAAATTTTAGGACATTCCTTGATTGATTCATTGCATTATTGCCAACTTCCATTCAAAAATAGCGGCTGCAACAGTTTCAGTCAAAATGCCTCTTGTTAGTAACCGACTCTATATCAGTTTAAGTCTTCCTCTCATAAAGATAGGATTCAATAAATTTCTCCTTGGATGCTTGGAATACACACATTTTGAAAATATTTCCTCACTTTCAAGGAAATTAGAGTACAAAAAAAAAAAAATCATACAGATTGAGCTTTGAATATGATAGAGACAGAATTTAGAAGATTAGAAAGAAAGAGAAGAGAGCAATCAGCTGACAACGGAAGAAATTACCTCATTAAAAATTAAATAATAGTTTTTTGCAGGTCTTAAAAAAAAAATAAAATAAAAAGTCTTAAGATCATTATTCATTACCTGTTTTTCTAAGAAATGAGCCACTCTGGTTCTATACTGATTTGGAACGGTGGGAAGAACTCTGTCCGCAGTTTCAAAATCTCTGCGCATTACAGCTGTTTGGTACTCTAGCACAGATAGTAAAAGGCTGAAAAAACATAAAAATAGTTTAGTCTATAAAAGAAAAATAAATGAATAATAACAATGAAAAAACTTAGCAAAATACCTTGATACACAGTGAAAGATTCAAGTCTACCGGCCAATTATTAAAACTAGGATAATAAATTTATGTATCTGGAATATTTTTAAATGATAATTAAATTAGAGGTCAAAAAATTAGTGATCTTTCCTGGCTGAATTTCTTGGCGGTATGGACAATTAACAGCTGCTTCTGTTCCCAGCAGATGGAAAAGGTTAATGCATCAAATGTGTCCCATAAGTAGAAGTAATGTTGTTTTAGAAAAAGAATTTAAAGAAATTACCTCAATCAATTACCGTAATCACAAAAGATTTGCTTTACAAGGGTATTCTGGGGGGAAAAAAGATGAACTAACCTGTACGAAACAATGTTGAGCTCCTTGTCCCCGAGATACAGTCTATTATCTTTGGCAACGTAACCGAGGAGATACATCGTCCTATCTAAATGCGAAACAGTCACTATTTCACCACCCACATAATAATTTATTCTATTTACACTATTTGTATAGATGAAGCAATCGCCAACCCACAGACCAGTGCAGACTGATTCATTCACCTCTCCAAGAACCTGCAATAAAATGATCCAAATTAAAATGACAAATAATATGAAGATGCAGTGAGAGTATTAAAACATCACTCATAACGACATATCGGTCATAAAGACATGATCTGATTGGTCCTGCGGCTGATATCTCATTGATTCAATATATTCATTCGGTTATAATGACAATGGACCACTAGACAAGGTACGAATTTAAGCAATCTGGTACATGTTTCTTAACCAGAATTTAACGTAAAACACGATTCGCGCAACGAAAATCACTGAAACTAACTCCTAACGAAGATATTATCGTTTTTATTTCACATTGGTTACGAGGAATTTGAACTGCCCGCTCTCAAGAAACTCAAAGCTCTACGTGAGTCAAATCGCTCACTACAAGGGTTTCAGAAAGCTTCTCAATCGAGCAATGTTCATTTTCCACCATGTGTTGTTCAAACTATAGGTAAGCAATTTGCTATAGCTGAGCCAAAGCGTCAAGATTGAGGTTGCCAGATTTTTATACAGCAGAGACTGTCATAATAACATTCAGTGCGCGATGTGAATCACGTAGAGAATTGAGTTTTCATGAGCGGGTGGTTTGAATTCACGTATCAAGAATCGTTAAATATCTTTGGAAGGAGTTGAATTCGGTAATTTTCGTTGTGCGCGTCGTATTCTACGTGAAATTTTAGTTACGAATCATGTATCAGAATGCTGAAATTCGTACCTTGTCTAGTGGTCCATTGCCTATAACGATCAGATAAGAGGGACCTCAAGAGGATTCTTGTAGATGCTATTTTCACTGTGGTTGCACAAAAAAGGTGAAAAAAATATTTAATTTTTAACAGCTTTAAATTCAGAGTAAGAATTAATATTGATTCAGATTTGATTTAGGAGATCTAAAATAGAAGAAATATCATAGTTTACAACTGTATTGGTTTCTTCAGAAAAACCAAAGTCATTACTTCATGGACATTTTACCCATTTACCAAAGACCAAAAGTAAAAAAATCATACATCCATGATGTCTGTGATTTTCACAGATAAAAAGAAGCAAAATCGAAAAAATTCCCTGAAATGTTTGTCCTTCTATTTGTAGGGTGATAAAATAAAATTGTTCGGATGATTTTCGATAAAACAATAGATTCCTGCATTTCTGCAAAAGAGAAAATCAATTTTAAACTATAACCAAGGTGAAAAAATATTTTATGATCACTCTAGAAATCAGAATCAAGGATATAAACCATTGATTTTCTACAGCATATAATTTGTATTCAGGCATTAACTTACATCAAATGCTTCCTCAACACCATCTACGGAGGAGACAGTGCCAGCTTGCCGTGCAGCAACTACCGCAGACGCATCGTAGCGAAGGATGAAATAGCTATCTTGCGTAGCTATGCAAACTAATTCCCCACTTTCAGACCAATAAACAGCTTTCGGTTGGATTTCAATTACACGCACTAAATCCAAAGTGTCCCAATCGTAAAGAGCTAAGCCAGCTGACGATTTGACCCCCAGTAAGAAGCCACCAAATATGCCTGAAACAAAAACATTTTGATGTTGTATCAACTTATGCATAATGGCAATTGCTCAGTAAACATATATCTTCATCAGCACACTCTTTTTTATTCTAATCAGTTCACTAATTAAATAATAGTGTATTTCCTCTGAAAAATACACTGAAAACTATGGTTATTTTAACAGAGACTGACATGATATGACACGATAAATAGCTCAAAGCCTCTAGTTTAGGAAGAAATAGGTAGAATCTTGTTTTCCGTTTATCCTAAATCTGAGACTAAGCCGAGAGTGAGTTTAACAAAGAGAATTTAACGAAGAGCCAGATTCCCAAATTACCGATACTTTTAATTGAAGTGAATATGAACTTACCTTCAGCACCTGATTCTGGTCTAAACCATTTCTTTTCTTTGAAATTTTTGAATACTTTGACGATAGAACTGCTTTCTCGAATAGCATACTCTGAAGAATCTTGAGCCCACACAAACTCTTGCGCTGAACCAAAGGCTTTGTTCCTGAGTGCCATTGCTGTGTATATTATGTACTCTCCATCTCCGCAAACAACGACAAACCTGCAAATCAATATGAAACAGTTTTAGTCAAAGTGGACATTCCTGGAAAAGGAAGACCAAGGTAGGATCATTTTATATAGGTTGCCTCTTTTCATTAAAATGTGGTCACTACTGCAGCTAGGATGTGCTTGTTAGGAATAAAGACAAAAAATAAAATGTTATATGATATTGAAATGTAAATAATTATCACAGAGAAATTTTTCTAGTATAATTTTCCTATGAAAATGATTCATAATGAAACTTGTAATATGAAACGTGTGAAGAAGGTACGTCTTTATTCACTCACCTCCCGTTAGGATTGTGTGCTATGGTCTGAGGGTATATTTCACAACTGCCCATATCTTTTACGACAACCGCAAGTCTCTCTCCATCTTTGATTTCTGTGTCACCCATGGCTTTTAAATTCGCTTGTTGGATCTCACTATGGCGAGCCCAAATGATTTTTCCTCCACTGACATCCATTGACACAGCAGGTTCTTCACGTCCAACTTTCACCATCACACTGCCTTCATCGTACCTGACGGTAACAAACACGGAAAAAATCATTATAAGAAGGATAGCTAGAAATATAAAATCATATTTACAAATAGTTTTTTTATCTTCATATTTTATAGAGTAGCGTAGCTTGAAACTTACAAAATCAGTTTTGAGACGCAAACTGTCTAAAAATTGTTTAAGTTACAAAGGAACAAAAAAGTAGTCTTAGGACTTTTCTGGCATGAAAAAAATTGCAGGATGAGATTTTCATATTTAAGATGTCTCCTCTTTGACAACAAACAAAAATATCTAATATATCAGACAAAATTAGCTGACCCACTGATTTTATTTTTACTGCTAAACAAAAAGCAGATCAGTTATGTGCAAAAGCGCACACTATTTTGCTGTTAATTTCTGCAAAATTTCTGTTGAAATCCAATTTCACTAGCCTGTAGAAAGTAATACTTTACGTTGCAAAATAGAGAAAACTAAATGTTGATAGAATTCAGGAAAAAAAAGTTCATACTCCCTGATCAAAGTAACATAAGTTCCATGTCTGTTTCACTGGACAATCCTTCAAGACACATGAAAGAGAGACACAATTTCTACCATTCAACCTTTGCTGTCTCAATGTTTTTTCTAGCAAAGTTATATTTCTCCTAATTACTCATTCTAATTGCGAAAATTAACAAAATTTCTCTGTTAGCCTTATTTTTGGGTAGAAAGTTCAAACTTTATTCAGCTCGCCAGATTTTACAGCTTCATAAGAAACCTGGAGAGTGTGATGTGTTAAATATATATTCACCCTATTGCGACATTATTTGAGCCCCTCAGACATGCAATAGTCCAAACACGCTCCAATCCATAATTCAGTGACGATTCAAGGCGGTACGTCCCAGAATGCCAAATTCTGACAGTGCCATCTTCAGATCCAGACAATATAATAGGCAACTCTGGATGGAAGCAAACTGAGAAAAAAAAGTAAGGCGCACAAAATTAGAAACCTAAATTGATTAACACATAAGGAAACTACTTATCAGATATATGACGTCAATTAAGTTTCAGTTTTTCATTCTTCAGCAACTTCTTTTGTTTTTTCGGTGATCGATTTTCAGAAATGGGACTGCTGAACGTAAGTTACTGTCAAGTAAATGGACTGTTCATCGGTAAAACCACACAACAATCACAATGGGGACATCAAAAAAGTCTGATATCCACTCTTTGACATGCAAATAGTGTAGTTTACAACACGTTTTTCCAAATGTCTCGCAACTGCAGGCAGTTTTCCTTGGTAGCCAATAACCAGGTTTGCTCCCGAGACATGTATGAAAACCGCATAAAATAATTAGTAATTGGTATCCTCCAAGCAAACTTTTGCAAAACCTTCCCACATCTTCATTTGTGATTGATAAGATTACCCTTCATTTTTTTTTCACCCTTCATTTTTTTTTCACCCTTCATTATTCGAATTGAACGACAAAATGAGAGAGAGAGCATACCAGATGCTATGTTTTCAGTATGCCCTTCGAGTGTTTGAACGCACGTTTTGTTCTGATAGTCCCAGATTTTGACCATCCTATCATCAGCACCAGAGATTAAGTAGGGTTTGTCGCCCCCGTGGTAATAATCAACACAGTTGATTCCTTTATCATGCCCTGTTCCGTCAAGTCCTTCCAGAGTGAAATTCGGAGTCGACGAGCCCAACTGCCAAACCTAGGATTAAAGAAAATACATATTTCAAAATTAATATCGAGATACTATGAATCAAACAAAGACAAGCAGAGAGAAATGTTTTACTTGGTGCAAATGGTAAAAAACAGATATTGGAACTTGGAAATCCCCATGAGTAGGTAAAATAATTGTGAAATTCTCTGCAAAATTGCAAATTTTCCTGCTACAGTTGAAATAATTTTGCACAAAACCCTGGATCACCATTCCAAAATTGCAGTTGCCGAGTTTCCTTGAATTTTTGGAGAAAAAGTTGTGGCTCTCCTAATAAGCCCTGCCTTTCCTAACGTGACTCTTGATTGCACATAATTTGCACCCCTAAAGTATTCTGTTTAAAAAGATTTGAAGAGTTAAACATTTTGTACTTTCATTTGTTTGGTTCATTTCTGTTGTTTATATGCACTACGAAATGGAGAAGAATGAAGAGAGCATAAGAAATCAAACAGCAAGATTTAAAAAAGAAAAAAAAAAAAACATACTGACCTTAACAGTACGATCAAGGGAAGCACTGGCGAAAGTATTGTTGTCCTTTGGATTTATTACAATTTGCATCACATAATGAGTGTGGCCTTCAAAAACTTGTTGACAAGCCCACTGTTTGTCCCAGTTCCATAATTTAATGAGCATATCATCTGAAAAATAGGTTCATAAAGATTAAATTTCAAGATATTTGAGAAATTCACAGAGATACAGTATACTTGTAATTTCATTTTTCGGTCGTCTCGTCATTCCTTGCCAACTTGTGCATGATGCGGCGATTGTGAATAATTTTAGTTTAAACACTGTTTTTTAGATTCTACAATGGTGAAAATTTTTTTGGCTCTCAATCTGTTTTGTATTGGTCCGTATTGGGATTGCAATTTTCTGCAATATAATGAGTCAAGACCATTCATTCCTGTCTACATCAACGCTAATTGCAGTTTGAGAGCCAAAAACCGACATATAAATCTTGTTTGGATGAAAGCAAATCCATTGTTTGCTGACTTACCCAAAGATGAGAATATTCCTGTTACTCATTGCTGCATGATTTTTGGACTTGCCGGACTCATGTATTTTTTATGCATATTGACAGTGTAAGTCCGCATTCACATATCTTGTTTGTGGTGTCTAAAAATCTCTGACTCTGTGTTATTTTTTTAAAGGAGAACAAATTGACATCATTCCTTGAAGTTTTTGCAGAATTTTCTTCCCACAGAGAAGAGAAATCACGGCAGTTTTAAAGAATTGCCATGGAGTAGTTTTCCATTTAAAAAATACAGTATGACAGGAAGTCAGCGACGTTGCAAACTGAGTTATGTGATTGCCGACTTACACCGTCGATATGATAAGCGCTACTGGAGAGGCAATGATTGATTCCTCATGTCCGATCCAAAATGGTCACTTTTTCCGGCAAAGCGCACTTGGGTGCAAAGCAGGAAACTAAATTGGGAGTGGAGGCGAGGAACATAATTAGAAAAGCCTTATCAGCACAGATTCCCCTTCCTTCTTCCCCCCAAGGGTTGATATGGGTATGGACGGCTTCACTGATGAGTCTAAGGTTTAATTCAGTTTTTTACGACAGATAGCATATTGATGTGCTGGTTGCTATTTTTAATTCTTTTTCACCAGCTTCCTTTTCCAAAATGCTCAAACATCCAGACAATGAATGAGACAGAAATCTGTAAAATTCTTGCTTACCACTACTAGTTAAAATGAAGGGCTGAGCTGGATGAACTGCGATGCATCTTACGTAGTCCGAGTGGGCTTCGAACGAATGGGCTCTTTCAAGGGTGTTGTAATTAAAAACACGAATCTGCATATCATCAGAGCCAGTCACAACCCAGTTCTTTCTAGGGATGAACCTGGCAGCTCTCACTGGTAAGTCACATACCTGATAAAAGCAAAAAAATGATTAGCAGATGGTTCAAAGGAATGTTCCATGAAATTGACTTAAATTTTTCTATGACTGGTGATAGAGTAAAAAGATTCATGTTCAGGCTAAAAAGAAATAATTAAAACTGAAAATGTGCAGGTAGTTACGACATCTGTCTCAAAGAAAAAAAGATCTACATTGTTGGAGCAATTTCGAATAGTTATCATTACCTGCAGGTCGAATATTGAAATTTTGTGTTTGTCTGGCAGAAATGGATGACGTACTTAGTTTGAATGGCAGAGAATGGTAGGTCCGCTATGTCTCATCCCTGCTTTGTTGTGCTTTTATCAGGTGGAATGGAAGATATACTATCGGAAACTTGAGTGGTGTCTCTAGCTTGTCGTGAGTTCCACCTGACAAAGGCACGACAAAGCAGCAATGAAACATAGCCAACCAATCCTGCTCTGTCATTCAACCTATGTCATCTACGTCCGCCTGACAAACACAAAATTTCAATAATTGGCCCCCCAGAGACATTTGATTTTATGAATCCTCTATCATAACAGAATTTGGTAGAGCAGCTTCATGCCTAGTCCGACATGAGGTTGAATGCCCTTTTAGTTAGGAAAGAACATTCCACACTGGGGCTGTACGGCTGGCACTCTAAAGAATAGTTATGGATAACAATCAATATCAGAGTCTCTTTCACCACTTCAAACCTTCGTTGCACTCTCAGGACTCAAACAAACTGATGCCATTTTGCTTTGGTTTTCTGAAGTGTGCACTCAGCCCGATGCGATTTGAACTAGGGTCTAAAGGTGCCTGACAAAGAAAAAGGAAGTTTCAAAAAAAATGAGTAAAAATGCCTGATGAAATTTAAGAACAAGCCTTTGATGGAAATACTTAGCAGAATACTCCACGCTAGTATTGCAATGCAATACCAGGGTAGCCGCCATTGGGCCGCGCCCACAACATGCCAACCAATGACAATCATCCCATCAAAATTCAGGCTGAATACCCAGAGTAGATTGCCGAACCAACAACAAAAAAAAAAAAAAAACTTAGCGGAATCTGCCGTATTATTATCAGCAAATTAAACAATTATACCCTTACTTCAAATGTTTTAACGAGCTGTTGGGTTTCATGGTTCCAGACGTGAGCATTGCCATTGTACAAAGACGCTAACATCCATGGTTCCGTTGGATGAAGGTCTACACATTTCACCCGGTCTGATCTAGCTGTTAGCTTACGTTTTATATCCAAGCGTAAGGGCTAAAACATAGGATACAGAGAAATTAATAATAACAAGCCAAAAAAATACTTCAATGCACAAGCTATTTGGAAAGTATCAATAAACATGAATAAAACGACATGAAATTCCTTACTTTTCAACTTTATTCTACCACAACCGCAATTTAAAGAAAATTTAATTAAGAAATAAGAAAAGCTGATTTGCAAATTTCAATATTGAGGTCTACAGTTTGTGCTGTTTGCATTTAAATATACTGAAACTAAAGGTGATTGTACCATAATGTAGAAAATGAACGGTGAGACTCCAAAATTATATATCTTATTGTTACATTGCAATATTGCAGACTTCCAATCATACTTTATTGTTATAATGGAGAACTACTCAATGTCAATTCTTAAAAACTGAGCCTTCTCCTGCCATCAAGTAATGCCACACATAGAACTGAAAAAGTAAGGCAACTATTTGATACCATAAAGTGATCAACTGGAAATAATCAGAAGAATCCCAATTAATTAATATCAATAGCCCACCTATGTAAACATTATAACCTGCTTACAGTGTTGATTTGAAGCTAGCTGAAGTTTCGCTATTTTCTCAAGTAAGATACCCGTAGTCAAGCTAATAGATCGCTATGATCCTTATCACAACATGCAGTCAGTAGTGGGGCTATTCTATCAGTTGTCGGTAAGCTACCCAAACAGTTCCGTTAAGAAAAAATTACGATAAGAGCACTCTTACCGATAGCGGTCGGAGTTTTTGGAGCTGACGAAAATAAGCTGTTTCCATGTGTACATCTATTTTACACACTGCTGCGCCGAGCAATCTGACAAACCGACACACAGGGTAACGATGCATTGAGTGCGAGCTCTAAAAACTCCGATAAGGCCGATTGTTAGCGATATCATCGCCACTGCCGATACTACCACCAGTTTCAGTAAGAGGCGATACCGATAGCGTTCCGGCAAGAATTCGTTTGAACACTCCTAGTCAGTAGCCACAGTATTTCAAGTGCTGAGAGGATTACATTATAATGTATTGTGATAATATTCTCAAGGCATAAAAGTCAGCCAAGATCAAAGAAACCTGAAAAGTTCAGGTGCGATATGTTCAAAGTGTATCGCTAAATATCTAAGCTCATCACTGACAGGTGTGGTGTTACAATGTGGTAAGCCCAATCTGTGATAAACATCATTAGGTTCCGAAGAATCTTATGGGCCCAGAATTGCGAAAAATAATATGAAATATAATGCTACAAATACTAAGATTAACCGGCCAATACGGAATCTGAAAGAAGATAAATGCTTTCATCATCATGAAAATGAAACCAACCATACCCCATCTATGTGGCAGTAAGTTAGTGAAGAAAAGATAGGTCTTTACTCACCATTTTGACAGAGATATCCACTAAAACGTCATAGACTAATGGAAACTGCTAAGTAAAACACCGAACCGAATGAGATTATAAATTAATTATTCCTCATTGTTCGAGGAGCAAACTTGTGCGGAACCACCTATAACAATAAGATTGAGGTTAACTCGGCAACTTGCGTCAAAAAAGATAAACACCGCAACATGACGTGGCGGTGAATGCACACATTAAAGTTGCCGGAAAGTAAGCAACCAAAGTTGCATATGTCTATGCACTATTGCCTACTATCAAAATTGAAGGAACTTTTCTGTGCAGCTGATAGTTGAGTGCTTTTTCCTTATAATCATCGCTAATTTGTTGTAGTATCATTATAGACTGTCAAAAATTGTATAATCTGACGATGGAGCTTGAGGTTAAAATTCTTCAAGAAGCAGCAATTCTCAAAATTTCTTTTTTAATAAGTAAGGCATTAAAGAAAAGCACACAAGGCATTGGGTAAGGGAATATTGGATCTCTATCAAAGGAGTTACTGACATGTAATGTAAGTATTATGATTCCATCTCATTTGTAGGAGAATCACATTTTATTCTGGACTCTTTAAGTAAGAGCAATATGCAGCAGCCTTAATCAATGGATATGTAATTCAAAATCAACAGGAAAATGTCACCATGACAACCTCCCAAAACCCTTGAGTTTTTAAGATAATCAAAAAAAACCTTGGCTTAAAGTAAATTTAACAAGAAATATCAATTGACTTAAAGAGGGATTTGCATTTAAGAAATTTTGATTCACTGAATTAAGTACTGTAAAACCATCCTTAAACTTGATTTTACTTGGAAAAAGATCCATGCCATGTGAAACAATATTTTTTATATCTCAGAAATTTGTGCTATATGTTTCCAATAAATAAATCGAAAATAATCTCAGACGTCCAATTATTTTTCTGATGAGCAAACAGCGCAAATATTTAGAGCTTTTGGAGCAAGACAAATTAGCAAAAGAGGAAATACGAAGAGGAAAAACTTTCGAAGAGTTTCGGCGCATAACAGAAAACAAGCACTTTTTGTACCAAGTCAAGCAGTCAGCAGATCAAAAAAGTGCTCTGATAAGAAGAAAACTTGAAATTCGTCGAAACAAGTTGGTGCAAAATTTCTACTATATCATTGCTTAAGTTTGATTCCTTTAAGTAGTAAGTAGGTACTTACCTATCACAATCATACATATAAGATGAGCCACTGCGAAAAACCCATACTTACTATTAACTTAAAGATGCTGTTTCCACAATTTTCGAGGGAGCACTTTAAGAGAAGTTAATATACTCAGAAAGTTGAATATGGATGGCTAAAGTTGAAAAATGTGTACTTCACTTGTGCATATAGTGCTGAATGCAAAAATCAGTTCCCTAGAAAAAATAGCAACACCAGCTCTTTCATGCCATTTTTTACCAACAATAATTGGTAAACATGAGTAACATTATACTTAATTTTCAGGTTGAGAAAACTGTTAACGGAGGATGCGAGAAATTTCTCAGAGGAGTATCGACGAGTATCCACCTATGCCACAAATAAAAAACTGGAGATCATGGAAAAGAAAGCAAGAGCGCTGAAATTGAATCGTTTAAGGGAGGAAGAAGCATTTGCCAACGAAAAAATTTTGCAGAAAATAAAGTGAGTGCAAATCAAGGGTCATGATCAGTCATAATTTGGTCGATCAGATTTTTTTCCCGTGATAAAAAAAACTAGTATATATTTGTGTACTGATTTGAAAAACAAACCAAATGTAACTTTCACAGCAATTTGTTCCCCGGACAATAAAATTTGATCAGAGTCAAAATTTGCATTTTCTAGTTTTTTAGTAAAATCGAGAGGATGTCTATCATTAAATAAAAGAAAAGTTTCGACTGGATATTTCTTAAATAATTCAAAAGTCGACAAACTTGAGGGTTGAAAATTACCTAATTTTTCCATCAATGGGCCTTTAAAAATATTTGCGTACCTACATCTTGTTACTTATTGCTACAGGATGAGCACATACCATGGAATTTATGTTTTAGAGCTTTCGTCATCAAAATTCTGTATAAGCGAGAAATTCCCACTTCCAAGTAGCATGGGGTTCTCTTTTCTGTCCAGCACTAATTTAGAAATTGTCTATTTTCCAGACAGAAAAATAAAATAGAAAGAAAATAGATGTATCAAATAGAAGTAAGACAATTATTAAAAAACTTCTATTTTCTGTCTATGTTCCAGACACTTAATACAACACTTAATACCTACAAGGAAAACAGACAACTTTGTTGTCTACATTCTGTGTTTTTCTATCTGTTTTCTAAATTTTTAAATTCTAAGAAATAGATAAGAAAATATCCAATTTTTCTCTATTTTCCATCACGTTTATGAATATTTTTTCTTAAGGAAATAGCCCTATTAATTTTCTAGACGAAAAATATATCCATTTTGTAGAAAGAAAATAGACCTATTTTCTTTGGTAAATATAGTGACACTCACTTTAAATTTCCTGTCTACTTTCCATAATGCTGGCTACTTTTTCTTTATTTTCTACATTTTTTTCATTAATTTTTTTTTTTCATAAAATATTTTCATTTTGCTACTTGGGCTACAACGCAAATCTATCCTTCAAATTTTTTAGAGATAATAGTGAAGAGGTGCGCACAGTCATGACTAAACAGACCTTACTCCACACAAAAGAGGCACAGTTAAAACAAATTGAGGACAGGCAACGACGAAAAAAGGAGGAAGAACAGCTGGAGTCTATGTGGAATGAATATTCAAGAAATATTAAGACACTCGAGGTGAGTTATAGAACATATAAAAAAATGAGTTGCATATTAAAAGATAACGGTAAATACTGTTTTCTAAACTATTAAAGTCTCTGCAAATAGTTTTCAAAACTTGATGTCTTGTGTTTCTGAGGATTTGAGTAAAAAGGTTAATTTTTTATTGTTACCAGCAACAATGTATAGAAGGAAAAAGGTCCAACAATAAACAAACGAAAGAAATGATCCGAAAACAACTACTGAGACAAATAGAGATGAAGAAACAAATCTTAGATCAAGAACAATGGATAAAGGAATTGGAAAGAGAGGAGTGCAAGAAAGCAAGAGAGGAAGAAGAGAATGAGCGGCAAAGAGGTTTGTGATAATTTAAAATTAAGTTCCTGGATTTTTCTTTGAAAAAAGGTAGATTATGCTATAAAAAATTAAAGGAAAAAAAGCTTAATTTGGTCGACGGCTCAGACAATGAGAATAAAATTAAAGCAATTCTTCGGATTTTTCCTCTTCAAACTTTTTCAAAATTTTCCTTCAGCATTAAAAACGCTGCACACAAAAGATGGGAAAATCAACCGAAAATGAGATGAGTACCTTGATTGAGTTTAGCTGAAAGAATGAGTAATTTTGATTAAAGCAAACAACTAATGATTTTATCAAATTTTTCTCAATTGGAATGAGCATTGTTTGGACAGACGGCATAAAGTAGAGGTAACTTTAAACCTTAATGCAGAGAAGACATAGCTGCATCTAATTCCTCCATATAAATACGTTCGTTTAGCCAATTTTTCTGAGTAATGGGTTTTTCCTTGATAGAACAGTCTGATTATTTATGAGAAATAATATGAGTTCTCTACGTTCAATTTTTTATTTTCATGCTGAAAGAGATTTCAAACCCTCAAAACAATTGACAACAAAGAAAAATATGAAAATGTTACACTTTGCTTTCAGCTCATCAAGAAAAGCTTCGGAAGATGTATCAACTTAAGGAAACATATGAAGAGCTGTTGAAAAAGAAACATGAAATGGAAGAAAGTAGACAACGTGAATTGCTGGAGCTCCAAAAGCGACAAAATAAGGAAATAGAGGAAGAGCTGAAGCGTGAGATGGAGGAGAAAATAAAACACAAGGTAGGAAATTCATAAGCTTGAGAGATTAGTGAACGATTCAAAGCCTGCAAAAAAAAAGGGGCAAAATAAAATTTTTTTGTTTCCACGGGACGTTTTCATGGGATTTGTCCCAAGTTTAAATCACAGGAATGAAACTTCTGAGATTTTTCCCAGTTATCGTCTCCACAGGACAGGGCCCACACGGTCCTGCGACAAATTTGCGCGGAAAGGTAAGTTGGTAAAAATCGAGTGTTTAAGCGGGATTAAAATAATTATTGAACACGATTGACAATCAGACACAGTATTTTACCTAAACGAACTCGAACAGTGGAGTAACCAACAACATATCGTATAATTTGCTTTCACTTCTTCTTCCTCTGTCAGTTGGTCCTAAAGATTAATGTGTTATTTTAGTGCCATTGTTAAGTTTTTTGTATTAGGTATAAAGAAAAGGTTGCACAATTTCATCAACTCTGCAAAGAAGATACCTAGTTCATTCTTGAAATTATCGGATCAATTACTCTCCGTTGATGTGAGAAATTTCAGATTCTTTGACTCATACTTAATTAAATTATTACAGAATTGTGAGAAAAAACATTGTCAGAATGTATTTACAGAAGCTCCGAGTTTGAGCTCTGTAAAGATATCTAGGAAAAGATGGAAATCATGACCTGTTTTAAATCTTGATTGCTTCTTGCCAGATGCAAATGAAATTGGAGACTGAATTATTTTTGAAGTACTTGGAAAACGTGCGGAAAGAAAGACAAAATTTGGACTACTTGTATGAGCAATCAAAGAGCAAAGAGGAACAGCAGCTGACAAAGAAGCAAGAGGAAGAGAAAAGACGGTTTGAGGAGGCTCGCATAAAACTAAATAAGGTAATGAGAGAGAACTGATATCATTTTATGTATGACTGCATCAGTACCCTTTAATTTCATCTGATGATTTTGGATTGATCACTTTACGTAAACTACATACTTTAAAAGTAATAACTCTTGTACACATAAATTCATAATCTCTTCAGTGAATACCTATATTACATCCTTTGTCGCACATATTTTTACTGATTTTGACAGACTTTCACAGAAAGCCTAAAATATAATGGTATTCTTGGTTCTCGAGATTACTTTTGCCCAATGTTGAGATTAGTCAATAAAAAGAGATTTCTTTATGAATATTTTAGAAGGTTTTGGAGGTGCGAGAAAAACAAATTGAAGATGTTAAGAGAAACAAAATACAACAGCGAGAACTGCAGCTGATGGAGAGGGACATGCTGCAAGCCGAACAACAAAGGTTGAGACAACTTGAAGTAGAGGAAACAAGAAGACACAAAGAAAGAGCAGCTAGATACTATATGGACATTACACGTCAAGTTGAGGAGAAAAGAAGATTAGAGGTGAGTTTTCATTTTAATTTAGTGTGACTACTTTTATTCTAAAAGTTTCATTTCAAAGGTTTCCATGAGCTTTAGCTCAGGGGCCGCACTATGTCGATTCTCTCACACGGAGATAGATGTAACATCCATCGATGAGTCCAAAATCGCACCACCGATCAATCAGAAACGCTGAGCCAGATTTAAAAGCAGTCGAGACTCATCCTAAGTATACTTAAGCACGGTGGAAAGACCGACAAAATTCGGCCCCAGTGCTTTGCTGTCACTATTAGAATTGGAATTTCTTTTTTTTTTGTGAGATGATGATAATTATTCTGTTTTCCATTCTCCAATACTTTATTGGGTGTGACCCTGGTACAAGTTATCTTTGAAAAAATCTTTTAAGGTGATTATATTATTATTACGTTGATTCAACCCCAAATCATTTCAATCAGCACCTTAAGTATGTACTTCTTGATGCATTTTTTTTTTTAAAAAAAAAAAAAAAGCAACGTACGAAAGCTCCGTAATGTTTAATCATTGAAAATAGTCCCGGTTAATTTTCAATTTAATGTGGAATTTAAATGCTGCCATTATTTGAATGTTAAGTTTTCCACTCTTGGACCTGGTATGATATAATTTTTGTCCTCTGTTTTTGTTGCAGGAGCAAGAAAAATTAATGAGCATCGGGGCTTATGAAAAGGAAAGAAAAGAGGAGGAAGCTCTGAGAAAAACAGTTCAAGAACTTTTAAACGAGCCCGGGAGGCTTATCAGAGTGTAAAACAGGTCAGCGGCTGTCGACCAAAAAACTCAAACACTCGCCCAGAACTGTAAGCTTTGTTTATACAGGCCAAGGTACACTCTACTACAGGTATGGACAAACGGGGTGCCGAAGTGGCAGCGCTGAGAAAATCGGCGATCGAGTGACGTAAGAAGTCGTACCGTCCATTTGCCGTGCAGGTCTTCGCAGTCGTACTCTCGATGCTGTCAAATCTACGCGTTTTGACGACTTTCTAAAATTCCATTTGTCCATACCTGTAGTAGAGTGTACCTTGTATACAGGCAAAATTGTATCAAATCAATGTCACACTCATTTGGAGAGTTCCTTGGGCTAGTTTTAACTCAATCAAATGGGCTGCATTTTGCGATTAGAAACTAAAATTTCTGGCTCTTGTTAGAAACAGCATGAAGTGCCATAGGTTTCTCTATGCAGATATGTGCTTTTATGGATGGGCCTGAAATTGTAGTTCCTGATTGCAACACCTATCGATTCAATTGAGACATTAGTTGCGAGAAAGGCACTTCTCAGTTGTGTTGTTTCAGAATCTTCACTAATATTTCATTCATTGTAAGGAAAGTGAATGGATGCATATCATTGAAATTATTACTGAGTATTCCTCATGAATGTAAAATGAAAAAAATTGTGGAAACAATTTCGAAGAAATTCCCTGTTGGGTTCTTCTTTAAGATGTAAAAAGGCAATGAAGATTCTGAGACTCCGCAACCATAAGTATCTTTCTCGCACTGGCACATCAATAAGCTTGTTCAGGAATTTTTACTTCTTTAGAGCTAAGATGGCATCCAAGAAGATCCCCAGAGCGGCGGGGCTCATTTTTGACTCTGCGTTCCCTCTGGCATGAGCTATGATCCTTGCATTGATAATGGACAGTAAACAAATAAATCAGAATCTTTCAATTTTCAGGAATATCATGACTTTTCTGACATCAATGATTCGTGACCAAGATTTTCATGAAAACTGAAAGATCTTGATGTGTTTGTGTACTTTCCATTATGAATGGACAGATAATGGATTGCGCGGTCAAATGTAAGCCCGAGCTGAGGAGCTCTGTGGAGCTCCTTGGACGCCATCTTGGCTTTTTCTGCGTTATGCGTTTTAATTGGAGGTCAAAATACGCGACTTCAAACTTGTATTCTGTGGGGTTAATATGTTGCAGAAAGTTGGAGAAAATTCTGTTGAATTATGTGCACTCTCTACTTTTCAAAAATGCAAGAATTAAAACTACTGAACAAGCTTACGTAATATCTTCCCTGCAAAAAGAGACCTGTACAGTCAACACTCTAAACTGAAAGAATCGCTAAAACCTTTTGGCACTTAAACAAATGTTCATTTAATGCGTTAATTAATGAATTCTCGTTTAGAAATAGATTGCATTAATCAATGAAGGGTTGTTACGAGACAAATTTCAGGCAATAATACACAATATTCACTGCAAAAGTTTGAGACTAATTTAATTAGCAATAATAATACAAAGACACAAATTTTGAGAGATGAGATTGGTAAAGGAGAAAATGTGATGAATCTTTTGTACTTTTGCAGACAAGATGATAATTATAACAGATGACAGACGAAGGAACATAAAAATTTTCAAAATATTAAATTGATTCGTAACTTTGCGTCTGATTTAAAAGTTAAGTACAGCGTAGGAAAAATCAAGTGGTAGAATACAAATGTAGAGGCAGAAAATTTACCATTTGAAAAGCTAAACATTGGGCTCAAGATAGCAGGCATGATATATTAAAAGAAATTTATTCACTACTTCATTTTTTTTTGAAAAAAAAGAAAGAAAATTCCATTTGTTTTTACAAAATGGGCTTGGAGAAACCAGATAACATCACAGAAACTTTCAAGATATCGATGACTAATGCCAAAAATGCGTTTCACAACTGCAACATTTAAAAATCTCCGATAAGTCTTGTATTTTTTTCAAAGAAAACAAATCGAATTATTTCTTGCATTTTACTTTGTTCTGAAGAAAATTTCAACAGAAACTGCTGGTTGGTTTCTTTTTGAAAATTGAATCATGAGCAGAGACTTTTAACGTCACAATCTAGGATACGCATTTTTGGACTTTGGCCATGGGTAGAATTTTAATTAGTTTTCATTTTTAAAAAGTAAAGTAAGCCTGAGAATTTGAGATGTGGCGCATTCAGATCCATGTTTTTAGGGTTTAGATACTAGTATTGCCGGACAGATTTTGGAACAAGACACCAAATAACCACCGCCTTGGACAAACTTAAAAATAGAATTAACTGAAATACATGCACTTGACATGCCCACTCTTTAGTTTGTTTTAGGGAACTGCCTCCTTTGCAATAATTCAGATTAAAATCGTGCAAAGAAAAAAAATGAATATGTTACAATGAAATAATGAAATAATTAGACATTTATTGTACATTGAGCATCAATGCTATTGAAGTCACCGAGAGCAGTTGATTACAAATTTAGAGGTTACAGAAGATTATGGGTAAAATTATTACACAATAAAATATTTTAACATTGACAACAAAAAACACGCAAAATAAAAATTGAAAACCAAAAAAAAAAAAAAACCACAAAAGTAAGTAACACGAGGATTTACTCACGGGTGAGTAAAAATTCCATTCTGGAAAAACGGATTCTACAGGCGAAGGATAATGGACCGGTAGTACTTAAAATCAGTGATCGATAAAGTAGAACCGAAGTATGCAGTGGGAAAAAAGAAAACTTGTTTTTTATTCTTTTACAAGGATTGTTCAGTAACTGACTCTAGGAAATATTGCACTGTTACAGTTACAGTAATGAGGCTTCAAGAAGAAATTTCCTCAAAAGCAGATAATGGATTTCAGATTGACCTATTTTAATGTTGCAAAAAATCTGAAACAACAAATCCTGAATGTAACGATGGATTGGCTTTATGTTGACCTGCAGCGATATCCTTACTCATTGAGTTAAAAATAAGTTACAAAATAGAATAATTGAGCGTCATAAAAACAAAAAGAATATATTCCAATTTGTTCCTAACATTTAGACTTGGTTATAAAATAGTCAGGCAGAAAAAGAGAAAAAGATAACTAAATTTCCATTTCATTATCTTTTAAGAGAAGATGCGACTGAAACCAATGATGAATAAATGAAAATTCAAATGAAAAGAAAACAAATTTTCAAATGAAAAAGTCTACTTTTCATCGTAGTCAGAGCTTGAACGTACTTCTGTACACAGAATGGTGTACAAAACTAATAATCATGATTTAGACTCTGGGCCTTCTGTCAATTGAACCTAAATTTTTCTTCAGGACCCAAAATCCAAAAAGCACCAAAATCCGTCTCAAGAAAATGAAAAAAAGAGGACTATACAGCGTGCATTCAATCTTTTGAGCCTTGTGTCAATGGATAATTTTTAGACACATACTTTTTTTGGTCTCCAAAGATTGAGCGCTTGCCGAATGGTACAATTCTCCCAATATTTCTCGAAAAGTAGTTTGGTGATTGGGCCCTTAAGCAAAATCTCGGTTCAGTTCCTTTCTGCTTCATTCAGCTTTTGTAAAATCTTTAAAAACAAGAAAAGAGGTCAAGGACAGGTCAACTTGAGTGTAAATTTATCAGAGTAATAGTGAGATAAAACAATTATAATTCTTTCTCCTTCATTGGGTTTCCATTCATACCCCGTGAAAATACAAAATAAAGTTACTATTCAGAATTGTTTTCTTTTTGGCTGTTCTTACAAAAATTGTTGGATTTAAATAGCTACATCTAGGCTAATTGTACAAGTGATATTTTGAGAGTTTATACAGTACAAGATATACACACACTATGAGGTTCTTTAAATCTAAAAGTTACAAGCTACTCAACTGATTACAGCATATACAATATTATGATTTGGTAAAAATAAAGTTTCTTCCTTACGGGGGGCCCTGATACACTTTACAAGCAGCCAAAACGCAGCCAAAATTATTATGCTTCGAATGGGCTTCTAGACAAAGTATGAATTCTATGATAAAAATATTTGATGATACCTCTCTCAGGAGTTGACATTCTATCTAATCTTTGTGTGAATTGTTTTCTGTTTAAGATTTTGAAGAGAGACTCGGTACTTTTTTGCTAGCTAAGAGCTTGTCTGGTGGCCCATTAAAATCTTTCTATGTAAAATTTCCTTTGGCAGAAAGACTCCTTTGCTACTTCAAATGATGGCAAGAATCGAAGAGAAAAAATTGTAAAAAAACTTTTGATATAGTGGTCATAAAACTTACCATAGCTGAAAGCGTTGGAAAAAGGTAATTAAAATTTAATTGAGAGTTATAATTGAGTCAATAAACAGTATTTTTTCATTTGAATAAATAACCACAGACATTTTCCACATGCTAACGAGTAAACATGCTAAGATAAAAAGTGGCATTCAAAACATACATAGAGCTGAAAATGAATTTTATCGGTTGCAATAAAGTTAAAAAATATGAAAAACAAAATCTTCGTTTCACAGACTATAAGAAGTTTAATACCTGAGTTTGCATAACATTATTTGAGAATGAAAACATCGATGGTAAAATTCCCAAACCATGAATCTCTCTTGTATCTCCATTTGCAATGTTGCAAATCTCCTTTTACATTTTACAATTTTAAAGGAGGCAAGATTTTTTTTGGTATAAAATCTTGACTAATTTTATCTTGTTCTTTCTAGAATATGCTCTGAAAATTTTGCACAAAAATGTCAAACAGTATTTTCTTTGAAAATTAAATGAAAGCAGAAATTTTCAAACACTGCACACAAGATTCATGGATTGGTAGATACGCCATCGATACATGGTTTCTTTCTGATTTACTCAACACGAGAATCAGAATTAATCGGATTTCGTCAGAATTAGCCTAACTACATAAGAAATTGCCTAATTTCTTTTCATATTTTATTTTTTAACCAGATGACTGAACAACATGATGACTTGAAATTTTGTGAATATATTCTTCACAATTTTAGGGAAATTCGGAGCAATTGTCAAGTAACTCTGTTGATTAGTTCTATGATGTAAAATTTAAACATGATAAGAAATTTGGGAACATAATAGGTATACAGTTGAGCTGATTACAGATAAATTCATTCAATTGTGACCAAAATTGTTTATCCTTCTATATCATTCCATATTTTGGTGAAACAACAGAGAGAAGAAAGACAAAAGACATCAGTGCTATTGAGTATGTGAAGTTATGATGCTTTCACTTTTTTAACTTCAGTTACTTTTCTTTCTCGCAACAAGAGTTGAATTTCAACCAGAGACAATTTTAACGTAATGAAATGGCAACAACAAAAAATTGGAGAACTTAAAAAGTATTAATTTTTAATCTATAAGCATAAAATAAGAATGTATTCTAATGCATTATTATGATAACAAGATTGGTTTTTGAACTATTTGACTATTAATTTCTTGGTTGAAATTTACTTATGAAAAAATCCTATCCTAGCACATTTAGATTACTAGAAAAAGGTACAAATATCTCTGAGGGATGATTCCTTAGAGAAAATTGAAAAATTCATTTGGAATAATCTTCATCACAAAGGAAGAGGAAAAGTTTTGTAGTAAAAGGCCATGATGTTTTGATAGGAAATTAGACTAAATGGTTCGAATCAAGTTACATTAGATCTAATGTAATCACTTATCAGTGCACAGTAATTCAAACAATAATTTTTTGTTCATTTTAAAATTGTATCTCCTTACAGAAAGCGTAAATTAATGGAAATCGTAGTTAAAGCTACAGACTTCTTTGAAAATAAAACAATAATATTTAAAAATACTCTGTAAAATAATGCTCACGCAAAATTCAAAGTTCCAACACAAATAAATAAATATGAAATCAATAAATATATAAATAAATAATGATGAGGAGAGAAATTAAAATGAATTGCAATTGCAAACATATAATTTTTGCACAATTGAGTATTAAAGTTACGTGACATTCTATGCGCTCTCATGCTACGTTTTCGACCCTTCGTCGCAAAGAAGATCAAAGGCGTGAAATGAACGGATGGTATTATAAATTTGTTGATTTGTCAAAGGTATTCTGACCAGACTATCCGTATCGCTACCACTTGACGTTTCTTTTTTGATGTTGTTACTGTGTTCCACCAGCTGATGAGCCTGCTTCGTTAGTGCAACTTGATCCAATGTCTTCCCAAAGAGGATTTCTTCCCACCTCACATCCAACTGTGAAAATCATCAAATAAGAAGATTAGAATATAAATTTGAGATAACACCTGATAAAAGTAATCCTAACAAAACAGATTAAAAATCGTAGAATGATAAGACTTCATACTTGGTTCACCTACCATACCGTTAAAGTTCATTTCTTTGAGTGACGTTTTCCAGTTTTCTCTGCGCCGTTGGGGATGCTAGAAAATGGAATTAGGAATAAAAGCTCCCACATTGAATGGCAGAAGCAACTGACCATAACCAAGCCACCATCGCAGAGACCATTTTACCAATCCATGTTGGTTCGTTCCCTGAATTGTGAGAGACTATTTCAGAGACGACTCCGTCTCTGAATAGAGAAAGTAACTAATTGTAGGGACCAATTGTGCAAGAATAAAAGTGAGCTACCACTGAGGCCTGCAGTTCAAAAGATTTTCAAAAAATTGGGACTAGATTGGACAAAATATACGTGTAGTCAAATTTTCAAAGTGAATTTAATTTCAGAATTTTCTTTAACTGAGGAAAGTTGGGAGGCTAAAATTCTTAAAATGTTATGTGTTACAAAGAAAACTTGACTGTTTCCATCAATGCGAAAGAGAAAGACTGAACTGCACTTGATGGTCGAAACGAAAAATCAAAAGTGGAAATCGTATTTAATCTTAAAATTCAGTCTTTTTTTAAGGAAAAGGGGTGAACAATTGTTTATACAGACTTTTTGCTCTATGAGATAGGGGTGTTCAAACGGATCTTTGCCAGTAAGCGATACTCCTTGTTGCAAAATGCCACTACACAGGGGTGCAGAGAATGCCAGATTTTGCAATCCTAGAATTGCAGCAAATTTTGGGGTATTTTAAAAACTGATGACTTTTTTGCTCAATATTCAATGAAATGGGGACAGATTTGCTCAATCTGTCGTAAAATTTCGTATTTTGTCCTAGAATCAGACAGTTGACTTCTGAGCCAAAAACGTCAGCTAATAGTTCGTGTATTGGAACTTTCTACACTCTTGCAGTGCAATCCAGTAAAGCTGCTCTTGTTGGAAATTGACAGCACTATCCAAAATTCATGAGCTCTAGGTCAAAGCATTGTCACTTCATATTTCTATCCTTAGGGTTGCCTGACTCGTAAAACTGAGTAACAAGGGAACAGCTCATTTCCGCCAACTCTGAAAATTTCGATCACTATGCGTAATGCGTACCAGTTGCAACACTTTTAAATGGAACTACTTTGGAAGCTTACTGAGAACCGATAGGACACCCCTACCACAAAACAGAGAACAAAGCATACCCGCGATTTTCATCCCAAAGCAATTGAGAAACATGGACACAAAAAAAAACCAAGTGCAAAACATCAAACTGAGCGTTGGTCGAGAGGGGGCCCGGGCGTGGCGACATGAAAAAAGCATACGCACCTTGAATAGTGACCGGGCTCGGTCTTGATGACTGGGCTTTCTTTCGGGTGATGATGGAGAGAATTCGATGCGTTTGACGACTGAGCGTTTCGTTGGTGCTCCGCAAAGGGGAGGGTTCTGAGAATGAAAAAGAGAAGAAATAAAGACCACTAAACCCCACAAACTACAGCCCAAAACCACATTTAGCATTCCTTACCTTAAAAGTTGTCCATATCATGACGACTTGCAGAATGACATGAGTGAGCTTTATTGTGTAAGTTAACTTTTATTGTGAAGCTCACAAACACAAAATCAGGGTTCCCATAGAATTTTGGAAATACAATTTCCTCATTTTCCTGACACATATTGGTAAAATTCCCTGATATTTAAGAATTTGCTGGATGGTAAGAGCGACAATTTGAAATAATTTTCACGCAAAATTTGCTGTTTGAACCGTCAAACCCATTTGAAAGAAGAGATATAAAGGTGATTTAACAATTTTTCCCCTATACTTTCATTATTTTCCCTGACACTTACAGGTTTCCTCTTACTGTTCGAAATTCCCTGACATTTCTTGGTTTTCCCGATACTCCCTTACTGTGGCAACTGTGCAAAATTGAAGAATGATACAAGCTGACTGGACTCCTTTGACTTTTTCTAAACATGATCTTTACTGATCTACGAGACAACATACGCGTAAATCTCCTGTTTACAATTTAATTACCAGTTACTTGAGCCATATTTTGAATAACGCATTTTTCACTTGGCCCTGACTCCTTCCTTCAATTTTAAGAAAAATTATCTTGTTATTTTTAGTAAAATTTACTTTCCACTATGGAGAATTCTTTTACGCAGCTCTGAGAGCAGTTGATGATAGGGTGGAAGCTGACGCTAATGCTGATGCTGACTGCTGGATGATGTAAAAATTATTAGAGAATTTCAGTACATGTTCCTTCATTGACCTTGGAGGTAAAATAGATATCAGAAATTCCCTTGATCAGCTCCAAGCCACAAATTTAATACTTCCAGTTTACAATAGAATCAGTTAACTTGACCTTACTCTGATTGTGGGATCATTAATTTTCTTTTATTTTCAGCTCATACCGCCTCATTTTAGTATCCCTTCATTTTATTTAAATCATAAGAGGCAATTTGTGGTGCTGGTTAAGGAACACAGCTAACAAGAGGAATAGTTTTTAAGGATATCGCTTCATGTAATCAGACTGTATCAAAATAAACAAATAAAAAAAAAATTGCCAGAAAATAAAAAAAAAAGTTGCAAAACACACCATGCAGAAGACTTAAAGTTTACGCTTTGGCCCTATTGCTGCCCTGCTTGTTATGGATTCAAACAGACAAATAGCTTCTTGAATGGAGTTTCCACTGCAGCACTTTAATTCTCTTTCATATTTTATGACCTCTTTGGTACCTTCATAACTCTTTAATATTAATTTTTTGCTTCTTTATTGGGACAAAATATGTTACTCATTGGAGGGTGGGCTCCAATCTGCTCTAAAATACATTCCTATGCTCAGAGCAATTAGGCAAATTAATGGTGAAACTATAATAACACAAATCTCAAATAGAGTGTTTGAATACATCTGAATCTGTTTTATTTTCATGGAAGAGAATAAGCAAAACGCACTGCATACTTATTTTCAGAGAATATTCCCTACACAGGGAAGAAAAATTATGGAAGTTCAAAAGAGAGCTCTCCTTTAATTAATAGTTTGAGACTTGAGAAAAAAAAGTCTGAAGCGAAGTTGCCACAATTGAAAACTGAGCAACGCATTTTTCTAGTTTCATATTCAAACGTAACTGTAGAAGAGTCAACTTATAATTTCATTCAAGCATGATTAGCTGACTAAGAGTCAAATTACAGAAAATTCAACCAACATTCAAGCATGATTAGCTGACTGAGAGTCAAATCACAGAAAATTCAACCAACTTTCTATCTCTTTGCCGAATTTTCTCAGAGCCAGAGCTGAAAATAGATGGTCGAATAATCGCTTGATTAACTTGCTTTTGTTAGGAAATAATGCAACAGTAAAGGTCCACAAAACTTGAAATCCTAATGCACTTTAACTTTAGCCATTGCTGAAGGGGGTGATAAGGACACATTGCTACAGGATACTCAAAACTACTGTGTAAAAATAAGAAGGCTATTTGAAAAGATCTACGGTTCAACCATAAAATCTAAATAAGCTAAACTCACACAAAACTCAAAAAAAGACTAATCAAGCTTGGAAGGATCACATTTCTGCAGATATCTTGCAAAAATGGCTTGACTGTTCTCAGTGTTCAAACTTCAGGGTAGAACTTGCCCAAGAAACCAAACTTGTGAACTTGTCTGGGGCGAGCCTAATTTTTAAGAGCCAGTCACAATTTTTGAGGGCCAGACTGATTTTTTGCATACAAAAAACCGAACATGGTGTATGAAACTTTGCCAGGGGCACAAATTAAAGGTTAAAACGTATAACACAATCATTTTTCCGAGAATTTGCAGCCGGTTGCCTTTGCGTACAACTTTTTAGATACCACTTTTCGGGTTTCTGGGTGCCTAAGTCATATTTTTAAACACATTTTGCCCATCATTCTTGGAGTGGTAAGAACACTGTCAATTTGTATTAGTCACTCAGTTTTTTCGAGGAGAACTGATCTCTAAGATTTTGTAGTGATGGTACAGTTGTTCAATGTTTCATTTAATACACAAACTGCTGAAAGCCCAAAATAAGGAGCGTTTTCCTATTATTTAACACTCACTTATTTTCCCTCTATTTCTCTAATTATTTGAATAAATTCTGAATTTTCATATGTTCCATGTTAATAATTATATCCAAATAAATTTATTTTTTTTGTAATTCAATGGGATCAGATAACAAGAACTATTCAATTTAATGCTAGTTTGTCATCAGATTATAATAATATATTCTTTCTGCTTATCAAAATTAAAATACATGTTTAAGTCAGTGATCTGTGATTCAAATTAGATCAGGTGCTGCAAACATGGGCTCACAAAAGAATAAGAGTCATAAAACTTCAATTTGCTAAATTGCTAGGTAACTCCTGTTCCCATAAATATCGCCCAAAAACACACAACAATACATGAGATAAATGATCACACTAGATCTACCAAACAATTCTAAAGGTGCAAAAACACACAAAAAACGCAAACTGGTGAACTGAGAATAAATATTTCGCTACAATTTTCATGTACAAGCTGAAAAAAAACTTGGGAATTAACATGTGCAAAAACAATGTGCAAGGACAACATTCTGGTGCAAAGATAACAAAACAATATCAACAAAACAAATGGCAACGCAAGAAATCACAAGGTGAGAATAACTTTCGAGTACTTCGTAAGATGAGGGGGAAAAGCAGATCAATTGTTTTGCTACAGTAAATTGCTCCAGGAGTCTATTAGAGGCTTCCCCTTAAAATTATGGATGGTTCATCGTCCTCTAAAACAGAATTTGGTATCTTCCGCAAAATGGGCGGAGAATGAAACTCATGTTAGAAATTTGCATTATTGATATACCTTAGTATAATGAATTAGGAGAAATGATGGGCATCACAAAGAATAAGTATGTTTGCATATCTCCTTTGAATTATGCATCATATGAAATGCTACTATTCGATGCATTTTTCAAGTCGCTTTCAGGCACAAACTTACGCATTTCGGAAATCAATTTCAAGAATGGATACTGAGGATTTTCGAGTAACTTGCATATCCGATATGATTTTTTGTGTGCATAATTGTGTTCAATTTAATTTTCTCTTTTAATTAGGAAAATTGCAAAATGAAAAACAATTGATCTGTGTTTGATCAAACCAATAAAAAAAAACCCAAACACACACAAACTAGTTAAGCAAACTGAATAGCCAATGGTGCTTGAGTGTTCCCCGACAAACAATGGTGCTAAATAAAGCAATGAAAATGGGTAGGGGAAGGGGGTGGGAGTATCATTGGAAACCCAGTTTATAAACTGAACGCCCTAGAACGAAACTTACCGAAACATCTGTGAAAAAAGGAAAATAAAATAAACTAATAAAATAATTCACTTTACAAAAGAAATAAAATAAAAATTATAACATTAGATAGGGAAAAAAATTTATGTCAATGAAAGCGAAACATTTTGTCCCAAAAGGAGGAAGAATAACTGGAAAAAAGAAAAAATATAAACACAAAAAAACCTAAAATAACTCAGTCCGCATCAACATGTCTCAACTGAGAAGGGGAAGAATGGGGAGATATTTACACTGTTGACCACAACTTTAACACTTTAATCGCTGAAGTCTCAGAGAAAATAACTGGAAAAAGGTTCTAAACGCAATCTTTTCAACATCCAACAAGACATTGTTACAGGGTGAAATTCTTGCAGGGAGAGCAACCCACATCACCACAAAAATATTACACAGGAAATCCATAATTTATCACAAATGGGCTTTTAACATTCATTTCAAGTTTATGATCAGCAGAAAACCAGCATTGATGAAAATAATTTTTCTCCATGATAAAAATCGTATGTAAACAAAAATAGATTTTAGTGAACTAATGCTGTTATTTTTTACTTTATTTTAAGTAAATTACGTAAAAATCGTTGGTTGTTTAACATTCGGTGTGAGGTACAACTCCAAAGGTATTATTTACTAGCTCAAATTATTATTTTTTTTTTTTGTTCGTTTGATACATAAAAAAATTTGAGAGGTGATTTAAATAGGGTATGAACGATTAAAACCTATGAAAGCTGAAGTGAGCGGTGTCTTAGTGCGAGTGAGATGACCGATGAAAAATGACATGCTGTATTATGAGATCCTAGATATATACAAAGGGTACAATAGATGAAGAGGTTGGATCCTGTCTAAGATGAATGAAAGTTGAAAACAGAAAGAGTAGTGCAAACAATCCAAACTATGGACCCAGTTATGATTAAGCCTGGCATTTGCAACTTTATTTTATCACAAATGAGATCTTGTGATAGTCATTCACTAGGTAGGAAATGAAAGATCACAGAATTCCGGACTGAGGGTCCAGTATAAAAAAGCAGATAAAACGTGAAAAGCTTCGGTTCTGGAAAAATGTAAAATGTGGCTAATGAGGAGAAAAATGGGGTGGAAACTAAAAATGAATCGAAAGTGCAGACTAAAAATGATTGAGATTGATGGCAAAGCAACGCTGAGCATTATATGAAGCAGGACTCAAGAGAGAAACCCTAAAAATGTGTCTTAAAAATTCAAATTAGGTGAAAACCTGAGTAAACAATGAATAAATAACTTTCTCGTGGTTTAAAAATAAGAGACAAGAGCGGAAAAACCCTATGGACCGGTACTGAAAACTCTGAAGAAAAACTGTGCGAAAAGGTGAACTGGAATGAATTTCGGTAATTAAATGAGAGTTGGATTAAAATAAAAGTCATGAATGAAATAATTAGATTCAGGGTATTCCTGCAACCGCTCCACTATTTTTTCCACTTGTCAGGGTCTGTGTCTTTCCTGGTTCATTACAACACAGAATTCGTTAGTTTTTGGAATTCTAATATTAATTATTTTTTTTCTTTTGGCGCAATTTTGTCGGGAAAGTAAAATTTATAAACTCTCATTTTTATACCATAGCTACTTCCAAACTTTTTTGAAACTGTATATTAAAAGAAAAAGTTAAAAGGCAGGAAAGACTTCCAAAACCTAGCTGTACTGATGTGGCACTTCTAACTTAAACAGAATAAAAATCACAACTAAACCATCCAATCTCAAAGAGGCGTACACATCAGAATCAAAAAGGAACTGTCATTTGCCAAATTTATGTTCACAAAAAAATGCATTGTCCTCTTTCACACTTGTCTTGGATATATAAGTGTGAAATACTGATGAGGAGGAGTGAAAAAGAGGGTACCAATTAAGTCAGAAAAATAAAATAAATAAATGAAATTGATCCAAAGATGAAAGTTGTTTGTAATTTCAAAAGTTGCTTCACTCATCCCTTTCCTATTTCTTGCAAGATACTTATCACAACCATTGTACTTGGAAAACATCAAACTTGCGGCTAGATTCATGTGGTTGAAACTTGAATTGACAGATAAAATATCATCAAAGATTTCGCACCAACACCTCCAACAATACATTCAACACTATCAACGTCACTATTAACCAAACAAGGAACAAATTTAAAATTTAGTTCGAAGACTGCCTACCTCAAAAATAGCAAACAAAATATGAGGAAAACGAAAAAATACAAATTAAAACCAGACCAAAACTTTGAATAGGTTTGAAAATGCACAAGAGCGATTACTCAAAACAGAAAAACCGTCTACTTTCTACATTTCTTTCTTCCCTTGAATCAAATCTTACAACGGTCAAGTCGCCCCACACTAAGACAACAAAGTAAGAAGAATATCACAGCATATCTTTCAAAAAAAAAAAAAAAAAAAAAAGACAACCATTTAAGGTAAACTATTACCTCAGATGTTGTATCAAAATTGATTGAAGACTTTGTTTGACTCCTATTTAAGGAAGGGGAGGGGGATAATTGAACGAAAACTTAAAGGACCTCTGCGTTTATTATGATATTTTTTCACAGCCCATAACCTAGAATGGACTTAAAATTGTGGCTGTGACCAAATGGATCATTCTGATTGCAATCTAGATTTTTTGGGCACCTATTCCACTAAAAACTTCATCTTAAGTAATTCAGGGCTCACAAACTGTGACATCAGAGGCATTTTTCATAACTAAATGTTGTTCAGAAAAGTCTAAGAAAACTTTTGGACACCAAGTTCACACTGTACTCATCAATAGTGTAAGAATGAGCATTTTTTTGTTAGTTCACGATGATTCTTTGGAGGGAAATTACTTGTATTTAATGTTTCATAAACCAAACTTTGAGCGAAACAAATTATAGCAATAATCCATCGGAAGATCAAAGAAAAAGTAGCAGAGGCTGTCTCACAGGTTTATCATTGAGCCAGAAAGGTGCTAACATTTTCTTGACTCCAGATTTGAGGAAAAGAAGAGAGAAGATTAGAAGAGGGTATGAATTATCTAAACCGACAGTAAATCTTTGCCTTTAACAGAACTATAAGATATCGTTTTAAGAAATTCTATCTCGCTTTAAACTTAGCATTAGTTTTTATTTTTAATGATGTAGTAAATCTTTTGCTTTATTAGTTTTCATTTAATAGATTTGGAATTGTAGATGTTAATTTAAAAACTACATAAAGCCACACTCAAAAATGCATCGTAAAATTAAAGAAAGACTTAAAATGTGTGTGGAGAAAATTAACAGTCGCATTTGAGTGGATAGTCTCAAAACGGTGAGACGTTACTTGGGGTCCAGAGTGATAGGCTTGTAATAACATGTTGCTCATGGTTTGAAAGCTTGAGGAACCGAATTCAGATACCACTTAACTCTAAACCACATTCTCAGCCTATGAGGTGCTGTGGCGCTAATGAACGTAAGAATGAACCTGATGATTTTGCAAACATTAGAAAAGAGGAGTTATAATTTCATTAAAATGGGTTGAAAAGATGTTAAAAATTTACTTCTTATTCTTCTGCTTTCTTGGAAATAAAGTTTGCTGCCGGAGAACTGAAAAATTTTAGTGTATTTCGGGAAAATTCATGAAATGTAGTAGCATGCAGGTATGGAAGAATATGTGATACATACTTTTATTGACTGCACTGTTGATACCGACGGGACGTCAGGAGAGATTGTAGAGGCATTGGACATTAACCGCTCCCCGAAAAGATCCTCAACTAATGTGTCTCGTGTGATGGACGGTGGTGAAAAGAGTACGGAGGATTCACTCGGTACAGATTTCATCTGAGGAAGAGAGAGAGACCATTAGAAAATGAAAGACTAACGCATTAAAAAAATAAAAAATAAAGAATAAAAGACTATTGAAATGAGAGTTGGCTATTCAGAAAACTTAAAATATGACTTGAACTGTTACAATTTATGTCTTATTCATTTTCAGGAATATAAACAAGGGGAAATTTCTCATATGAGCTGCTGAGAAATTACTCTGAACTGCTGAAAAATATTTTAGAAATAAAAACTTGCTCCTACGTAAAAAAAAAAAAATTGAAGGCCTAGGATCCATTGAGATGAGAACTTGATCAAGATTTCTAGAATTTTAGACCACATTAATGGAAATTTGAACAAGTTTGGCACAAATTGATGTGAGTTCATTTAATATGAAGTTTTACTGAGGAATTTTGAGTGCTAACAAAGTACTTTTACAGTTTTTAGAACATAACACAGAAAGGCAGGGATACTTACCCCACTGTCATCCCCATTTCCCAGGCTATTCCAGCTGGGTGCCAGGGCTTTTCGAACCCGTTTATGAGGTAATGTGTTCTCTTTCCCGGAATGGAGTAAGACCAGCTTCCTTTTCAAGGTGCTGTAACCACTATCTTCCTGTAAAACAAATTACAGAAATCAAAATTAAAAAAGAAAAATAATATCAGGAGTGAAGAAAATTCCAAGCTTTACCCTTGGTAAAAAACATTTACATTAAAAATGTTAGATACTTCAATTACATATGCGGTACAGAAAATAAAGTTATGCATTACCAACTCAATTTTTAATATTTTTGAAATGTTGAAGACAAGCCGAAACACCCTACTTTGAAGTGTTCTTTTCAATTTGCAATGAGATTTTTGGAAACATAGACTACAGGTTTTTGGTGATTTTAAAGATGTTTGAGCTACTGAGTTATTACATACAGAAGTAGGACTTACGTGCTGAGCGATGCTTGACATATCAGTCTCGTAGTTAGAATCGTACTGACTAAGTTGTTCTTTTTTAATTATTTCTGTTATGTCTTCGACCAGCCTTGTAGGAGTATGCGCCTAGGGAAAAAACAGAAATTCAAGTATGAAAAATCAATTAGGTTCTTGGAAATTTCAGATGTAAAAAAAGAAAGTTCTCAATCGAGCAATTAAAGAGAAAATTCAGTAGCTTCAATGACTAACAGCTGATCGTCACTTCTAAATGGATAAAAGAATTTAGCTATATTGATGCCTTGGTTGAGGTGGAGGGGGTTAAATTTTAAATAATGGCAATAAATGGGAAAACCGTTTGCATTCTTCAAATGGAAGTAATTATTAGAAACAAAATAATAATTTATTGACCGTTCAACAGTCACTTAAAGTCAAAAATTAGAATATCATATTCAAAGAGAAAAAAGGATGGAAACGTATTCCTTTTATCTTATCTTGTTTGAAAATGTGCTTGACTTGGAAGCAATTAACTCGACAAATAGTTGTTACTGATGATGACTCGCAATTCATTTCATCTAGGACTGACACTACACAAACTTGCCGCTAATTAATACATGGTTGGACAACGAACGATAATGAAACAAAATTAAAATAAAATATTATTTAATAAGAAACAAGACGTGAGTAAAAAAGGTTCTTACCATGTACTTAGCACCAATTTTTTCCATTTCTGCTAACGCATTCTTGAAAGGAGTTGGGGTCCGTGGAGTGAAATTTGAATGGGAATGTTTCGGGGTTGCACAGGGGGACTCATCACCATTTTTGGCTGCTTGTTGTTTTTTGGTTTGTTGCAAGGGTAGAGTTGGATTTGGGGTAACCAAAACATCTGGGCTTTTGCACCCGCACAATTTGTGGGAAGTCAACATCCCACTTTTCACCGGGGTCGACGATAGAACATCGAAAGATAAGTTGGGGCTATTTAAAAACTGAAACAAAAAAAGGGCAGGAAAATGACTATTGATGCTTTGAGCTCTTAAAAAAAGTATTTCATGATTACAGAACTTAAAACTTATGTTGTAATTTATTGAATTATTACATTATTTTTAGAATAATTTACAGTCAAACCTGGAATAACCTCAAATTTACAAAATTTTGATGGTGTAAAAGGCAATGTAACTGAATTGTTTCCCTGATTCCTCAAAAAACCCTTTCTAAGCACTAAATATTCTGGTTTCTAACCTTAGCGAATAAATTCAAGGATTACTGAGAAAGGTTCAAAATTACCAATTCTTGCATGATCCAGACAAAATAATTACTCGATTAAAGGGTCAATGCATTTCCTTATTTGAAATTAGATACACGGATTATTTATATTGCAGGAAATTGTATAAAAATTCGCTGATTCTATGATCTAAACATGACAGGTGAGAATTCTGAACAGCTTTTCCTCGAAACTACATTTCCTGAACTACAAACTTCAAGCTGCCAAAACTCTGGTTTGATTCAATATAATTGGCCATTTTTTGTCCTAAAATGTTCATTTCACACTCCTCTACACACCAGTATCAATATGTTCCTTCAAGTTTTTATGAATGGTCACACATGCTTTTGGATATTGTTAATTCATTTTTGGCTGAATATTAAAAGCACATTAGTATTGTAAATAAATACTAAAAACAGAACCAATATTTTAGAAAAATTGGTTCAATATTTCCGGTGAAGATTCACCTTAAATGGATTACATTTTGCGATAAGGAACCACTTTTTTTGGCCCATTTTAGAAACAACATACATGAAGTTGGTTTCCCTATGCAGATGTGTGCAGAGTCAGAGATAGTGGTTCCTTATTGTAAAATGCAATCCAAATGATCTACTGATGATTAAAAAAAAAAAAAAAAAAAAAAAAAAAAAAAAAAAAAAAAAAAAAAAATTAAAGTAGGAATCAGAGTTGAGTGCCTCTTAGCGAGAAAAATTTTATAGAAATGATTACAATTTTAGGATAAAATAAATCAATACCTGGGAAGGGCTAAAGGGTAATTGTTTGATGGGAGTCATTTTCTTTGGAGTGCACTGGCCACCTATACTGATATCCGTTATCTCGTTGGCTGAACTCTGAAAGAAAGAAAACGAAAATTTTCTTCAAACCTAGCACAAACTTTCCTAACTTCGAAGTATTTTAACTCTTACAAAATCCAAAGTGGTTGACTTATTCTTTTTCTCTCATGATTTAGTGATTTGGGGTTATATCAAGTTCCATAGAAAATTATTTGAAGACAACACATAAGTTGGGGAATAATTAGGAATAACAATTTGCAAATTAAATTATTATTTAGAGAGAAGTGATGGGTCATGTCCAAAATTTATTCTGATCCACTATCATTGAAAAAAATGATTGGTAATTGATTCAAGTAGTAAAGTAATGGACTCATTAACTTTAATGGAGTGAAATTTATATTCTTTACAGTTTATTGATTGTTATTTTTATATTGATAAAATTTTACGTTGAGTAAAACTAATAATTTTCAAAATTATAAATACATTTAATGATGTCATTGTTTGAATTCCTGATCCACCTGAATCTGAATCCATGACCCCTTTGATGAACAATTCTCTTCTCTTAAACTTCATCAACAGTTAAAACTGCTATTCAGTTAAATATCAAAAGTTACGTGCATGGATAATATATTAAAAGCAAAAATATACATTTGGACTTGGGAGCAATTTGAAGGGTAGCGAAGATTACATCAAGGTTGGGAACAGATGTGTCTCTCCTCGATTCCCAGAGACCTAAATACTTTTATGCCATGAAAGTTCACAAACGATGGAAAAATTAGAAAATGAAAAAGGAGACAACTTATATCATACCAGCAACGGATCATGATGACTTTTATCCGGTGTGAAATCTGTGCAATCGGAGAGTGAGCGTCTTCTCCTAGCCCACATTTGCCGCCTACTTAGAGGTGATTGTGGTGAAATTTTAAAACCGGAACCTGGAACAATTAACATCCGCTCATGAGACATATGCTTTAACATAAGATACTTTCACGGAAAAGATTATTTTTTGACTCACTGCCTTCCATTAACAAATCATTCTGCCAAGAATACAGGAGGCAAGCAGCCTTACGTAGCTGGCTTGTCCCCTCACAATCAGGAACTTTGTTTCCTCTGATTTTTCGTATTTGAGACAACACATTAATTCGAAAATTTCTAGAAAACCTAGATAAATTCTGTACATTTTGAGAGATTGCGAGGTAATTTTTGAGTGAAGAATTTCTAATGCTCTAATTTTTAATTCCACTTCACCTTTTTCAAATGGTAGGATGTTAATTAAGTCGATAAAAAATAAAAATCAACATTAGAATATTCCTTTATTTCTTGAATAATAAGACCATTTTCTTTCAGAACGGAGCAACGAAAATTCTATTATTTACGTGCCTGTCCATTTCTAGCTTATGCAGGGAAAGGAAGCAAACCTAAAGAAAAAAACCCTGAAAAAGTTGAGCTGGCTTTAAGCTTGCTGAATTACTTACTTAAGAAGGGGTTAAACCTTTTGTCAGGTGTACTATTTTTAGAACCTCCTTTGCATAATTCACTCATTTGAAGATCTCCGAAACCTTCATCCGGAGATAAGGCTGCAGATGCAGCATTTGTTTCTTGCATGAAAGCACCTTCCATGTCAAAGTAACTGTAAAAATTAAAACAACGATATGAGGCATAATTGGATCATACTGAAGAAGAGGGATTTATTAAACACACACTATCTAAGAATTAAGGTGCACTCAGTCAAAATACTCTATTTTTTACTACACTTAAGACTTTCTCAATAGCCAAGGATCAGCATTTGCAAGCCTAATAATGTAGGAACCTGACAAAATACAGCATGCTTTTTTACGATTAAGGTTTTATTTCGTTGACTTTAAATGAAATTAATTATGGAACTTATGTGATACACAGTCAGATAAGACAATTTTAAATTCAAGAGAGTGCGACAATTTGTTGGGCTTCAAAAAAATTGTACAAACTTATAGAAATGCTGAACTTGCGATACAAGTTTTAGAATTTCAACCTCGTCCATGCTGAGTGGAGCTCCTGCATGCGTCAAGGATTTTATATCTAAGTTTTCTTTTTTTCTTGAAAAAGTATGCGAGAGAATAAGTACCTGAATGGTGAGATAGACATAGTCTGAGGTGACGAATGAGGTCTTGGTGGGGATTCCACTTTAAGATTAGTTATATAACTAGGAGTGCTCGAAGTCACAGTCTCTTGTTTTGAGGTAGATACATCACTAGAGTTAGTGTTACACTTATTGCTAGGCCAGGAGGAGTACTGAAACATAAAACGTTCACCATTAAACATCAAAAATTGTGAGAACGTACAAGACTAATTATTCAATTTATAAATGCAGAAGGCTCTAGAAAAGTAACTTGAGAAGGATAGGTTCAATTTTTTTGTTTATATTTTTCCTTGAAATTCGATCAAAAAATTAAAATAAACTCCAAGAAGAATATGTGTAGAAAATTATTGTAATCGTTGTAGGTTTACACTTTTTTTTTCTATTCCCTTTTAAAGTTCATGACACAGGGTATGTACAAACTTTGCAGGAAAAAATTTCCTGACTTTTCTAGGTTTTCCCTGACTTTTCACACAATTGACAATTTATAGGTGTAGAACTGAAAATGAAAATTTTCCGGCATTTATGTCACTGCAAATGACAAGAGACAGGAAAACCTTTTTTTCAGGTACTATTTATTCGATATTGGCTGAAACTGCGATTACTCATTGAAAATTATTCCTGTATTTACTATTCAAAGAGTAAATCACAACATCGCACCCCGAACCAGACTGAGACTCAGTTTGGTTGTGGTCAGCACCTATGTTTTTTTTAGATTTCAAGTTTTAATACTTTTAAATTTCTAGTCTTTATTCATATAATTTCCTGACTCTCCCCAAATCTTCCTGACAAGTCCCGGTTTTCTAAACCTGTAGGAACCCTGTTTGAAGTCCTTGATAGATGAGTATTGAGCTTAAGCTTTTAAAAACAGACTTAATTTTGAAAAATGAGCAATTAATTAGCGTAAAGCAAGAATGCAAAAAAGAGTTAACTTACATTTGAAGACATCAAATCATTGACAGAGACAAACTCTTGCTGAGGAGAGGAAGAATAGTACTCAGTATTGCTATTATTGGTTTTCACTTGAGCTTGAATGAACCTGATATTGACGTTAGATGTTTTTTCTAGTTGTTGCTGTTGTTGGCGCTGCTGCTGTTGCTGTCGGAAATTCCGCCTCGCCTTCTGCTTCAGCGCTATTAATGTGTCATTATCCTTGCGCCTATCTTCAGGGTCATATTTCCTTCTCATAGTTGAATTCCAATGATTTTTTATTGCATTGTCCGTCCTGAAAAGCAAAAATACAGAAATAAAAATTAACCGCTCACTTGGGGTCGAACTACACAAAGAGCTCTCTTGTGAAATGAAACCAGCTTTTTCAAAATCAAGGCTGGTTTTGGTACAAAATCGTTTTTCTTTTCATATCTTTCCAGATAAGTCTATTTCTTGTCAAGTTGTAGAAGGGGATTGCGTTCTGAGGACGGAAATTTTAGACAATAGGCTTAAAAAAACATATCGATAGTGTAAGTCAGCAACCACATAACTCGGTTTGCGACGTCGCAGACTTCCTGTCTTACTTCATTTCGTTAAACAGAAAACTACTCAACAGCAATTCTTTAAAACTGCCGTGATTTTTTTTCCCTAGGCAAAAAAAATTTTGCAAAAACTTCAAGGAATGATGTCAATTTGTTCTCCTTTCAAAAAATAACATATCAGCAGAGATTTTCAGACACTGCAAACGCAATATGTGATTGCGGACTTACGCCCTCGATATGGAGGGTTTTAGAACAAAATAGCACATTAAGTAGTTTTTGCCGATGTTTCCTGTTTCCAGACGTTGCACGAGATGTTTCGTAGCACGAGTTGCTACGAAATAAATTTTAGCAGTCTTGAACAATTGACTTGCACGTAGGTCTCTTTTCAAATGCTCAATCCTGAGGCCTTGTCCACACGAGCGCAGTTCGCGGAACTTATTCCTCGAACTTGCTCAGTTCCCGGAACTTATTCCTTGAAACGAGGCATGCTGTCCACACGGGTTCGTCCGAACTGGAACCGGAACTTCAATAAAACTATACAATTATTGCAAAATAATAGATTATTGTGACCGCCAAAGTAACAAAAATAAATGTCAAGATCATATGTAAAGGACGTGAAAAACAAAAACAAGCAAATTCACATCAAAAGAAACATATTTAGAAGCTCGGAGCACGGGGGAAATTCCAGGTTTTGGAGGAATAAGTTTCAGCTCAGCAAAAAACTTGTTCCGGGAACAAGTTCCTCGAACTGAGTTCCGCTAACCGCGTTCAAGTGGACAAGGCCTGATAAACCCCCTTCGCTTAATTCTATCGATGTAATGCGCAGAGACTTAAAGGTACTGACCTGCCGGGCAAAAGTTTTGCAATTTTTGCCCATTGGTTGCCCCACTGCTGATGAGCTTGATAGATGATCCTATCTTCATCCTCAGTCCAGGCCGTTTTTATGATGTTCGGATTAAGATGATTGTGCCACCTTTCTCTGCACTGCTTTCCGATCCTGCCTTTCAAGTGTCTTGCGATTAGAGTCCACTTTTTGGGTCCGTACCGGTCCACAAGTTTGATCACAGTCTCATCCTCCTGTTTAAACAAAATGTTGGTTTGTAATCATTAAGTTTTTCCATTTTTATTGATTGAAAAGGAACAATCTTTGAGTTCTCGCTACAGTAGATATCGGTTAATACGACATTCAAGGGGTCACGGGATTTCGTTGTATTAGCTGATATGTCGTATTAACCGTTGTCGTATTAACTTATGGAGTTTTGCCGGGGAAAACGAAATCCGTCGTATTAGCCGATATGTCGTATTAACCGATATCTACTGTATTTACACAAGTAATACAATTAGAAATTCTAATGTAACGGATAAAATTCAGCATTTGGCAGAGAACTAAACCAGGTGACGAATACTTCTCATGAGGAAAAATCTTGGATATTTTGCTAAAATTTGGAATTCACATCTTTTCTTATTCAGACCTAAATTATTTTTCGACTAAAAGATGATTTTCCCCCGATTTTACTTTCTGGTTGGCTAAAATTCCTGATGTTTCCTTGATTCTCGCCTCATTTTAAGTAGTCTGAAACTGTAAAATCTAAGTATTGGATTTAAACTGCAATTGCCTTTCTGCAACAAGCATTATTTCAATGCTCAAACTAATTAGTGTCTGAAAGATACTGATGCTATTGGGAGACTCTGTTCAGTTATGAATACCTTTTGCAGCACTACCAGGATCTCTGCAACACCTCATTATTCCCTTGACCTATCTGACCATCTAGCAAATTACATTACATTAATTACATTATCCTACCTTATCCTGAGCAAATTACATTATCCTAATTTCATCTTGAATGCCATACATTCAAGATTTACTGGCATTCTCTTCTTGAAGAAACTCAATCTAGAATCAATCTAGAATCTTAGGCAACCTGCCATCTGCTATCCTTTGAACGTCACCATACCAGATAAGATAAGCTTTTTCATCATGATTTTATGGACTGTTAGGCATAACTTGTGGGTAATGATTATACCACAGCAACTAAAGCTGTCCAACCTTCATGAAATTACTGCACTTGCTTCTGATGCATGAATAATTTTCAAAAAGACCCTCAATGAAATAGAATTATCAAAGTTGCTCACTGCAAACTTTAGATGAATTATACATTCTTGATAGGACGCTAAAAAATGTAATTTCTCTAGTCGATTCACAATGAAAAATTACCTCTTTGGTCCATGGTCCTTTTACCAGTTCTGGATTAACGACTTTATTCCACCTCTGTTGACATTGCATGTCAGATCTGTCTTGCATGTTATCTGAAATTAGATCCCATCTCTCGCCTAATTCTTCCACCAGTTGTTTCAGTCGTGAGTCCTGTAAACACAGAAGAAAAATTATTTGTTAACAATTTGAAAAACCACGAGTTTAATTCGGAAAAAGGAAAGATGGGGATCAACAAATGCAAAAGGCAATTGGAGTTTACGAAGATGCATGCATCTTAAATGGTGCTTAAATATAAAAACAAGATGGTGTCGTTAGTTTTCTATTGTCTAAATTAGCTGACAATTAATAGGATCGCATTTAGCAAAAAGGAACCAGCGCGATTACAGTGTTGTTAAAATGTTGTTTCTTCATGATTATCTGAAAAATTTCCCAGAATAGCAAATGGTTTGTGCTTCCCAAAAAAATTGTTTATTTTAAAAGAAAATAATTCTGTAAAGTTTATTAAGACTGCAAATATTTTCAGTAATTTTAAAAGAAAAAAAGAAGTTGCACGATTTTGAAAACACTGTAATCGCGCTGGTTCCTTCTCTGCTAAATGCGATCCAACTGATACAAATTTATTGTTTAATATGCACAAAATTCTTCAAGTTGAGGCTACAATCGCCAATGACTGCGACAATAAAGTAGAGACTATCTCGGTCTCTGCATCTTGTCAAATCCTTTGCACAGAGAAAGGAGCGAAAGATGGAGAAAATATCGATTTCCGGTTTCCTATGCTAATCTGTCTTAATAACATTGGTTCAACATTTTTTCCAAGCCGTATTAGCGATTTATCGTTCTGTGGCTACGAAATGCTAAAAAGAACACGAATATTCAATTTTTGGGGTTTTTTATTGCGCATAACAGTGAAAAATTATTCCTGTTGGGCTCTGTTCCAATTATCTTATTGAACTTTCATCCCACCTTGGGGTTCTCTCATTCCTGACTCCATCACATAAAACTACCGCAAGCCGTCCTGCCTCCGTAGCCTCAGTTTTGAGAAATACTCGAGTTTAAAACCAGTAACATCATCATGTCTTTTCGCACGATTTTACGCAGGATCACTCGGTTTGATCTCCAGACATTGCGGGGGCTTAACTGCCCCCCCCCCCCCCCCCCCCCCCNCGACGACTGCCATCCCTGCCGTACTGAGGAAAAACACCGTATGAATATTCGGACGTTGCCAAACTTCTTCTGAAAAAAACCTTTGAGGGAACCTTTGAGAACCTTTTGAAAATTTTTCCTTGAATTTTCCACAGAGTTTCGTTCACAGTGTAAGCAATCGCGACAAGAAATTTCAAAGAGAAATACCCGTTACTTTCCATGAGTAAAAATATCTTGTCGGAAGAAATTTGGCAACCGTCGACTGTCCATACGGCGTTTTTCCTCAGCGCTCCCCGGGCGAAGATGAATGGGAGCAGACGAAGGGTTGAAAGAGGCGCAAGGGATAAAGGAGAAATAAAGGTGGGGGAACTGGAGTACCGACATGCACTAAGCGAGAGGGGCGCATTTACACGGTGTCTTAAGCGGAGTTATGTTGTTCCTGTAACGAAAGTAAGGAGACTGCTTAGATGACGAAACCAGTTCTAGACACGTTCGGAGCGCCTTGGAATGGAAGCCCTCGGCCGCGAAGGGTTGAAAGGCGGAATCGCGGGGTTGTATGAGGAATGAATCGAGAGCCAATTTCGTAATAAACACGGGGTTGAATTCATCCAGCGAATCAGGATCCATAAATCGTTCCGTGCCCTCCCGTGCGCTACCGGCTAAAGAAAAGAGCAGAAACTCCACTCTGGCGTGAGCCTCGAAGCACGTAAGAACGCGTGCTAACAATGGCTCTCGTTCAGATAGAGCTATGGGTCTATTCCAGAACAAGGCAGCTCTTGCCTGTCTTCTGTGTCCCCACGACACACAGTGGATCGAGTCAATGGGAGAGGTCGGAAAAAATTTGGAAACATTAAAAGCTCATAACTCCGTTCATATGAAACTCTGAGGTTTTAAAAGTAGTTCCATTGGTTTCCTCGTAAAATTTTCTTCCAGAACCACCCCTTAAGATTTGAAACGTGACGAATTAAACATCAAAATTTGCAGTTTTAGTGGAGAATTTCTTGTCCGACCTCTCGGATTGACTCGATCATTTGTGCGACAGAGAGCATTGGCTATTTTGTGGCATGAGCTTCGAAGCGCGTAAAAGCAAGTGCTAACCGTGGATCTAATTCAAATGGAGGTAGTCTCTTCCATAGAGATAGTACCTACTAAAGTGAGGAGAGAACTGCCATGTCACGGAAAAGAGCAGTAACTCCATTCTGAGGTGAGCTTTGAAGCGTTTATGAGCACGTGCTCGAATGAAACTACTGCTGAAGACAGTTTTCTCCTGTCTTCTGCGTTCCAACAGCAAACGACAGTAAATCCATTCTGGCATGAGCATCAACGCTGCCATATGTTCCGGTAGAAAGCAGTAACTCCAGCGAGTATTTGAAGCGCACTAAAGCACGTGCTGGCCGCGACTCATATCCGAATGGAGTTAAGAAGGAGATGTTGCATGTGTAAGGAATTTGCGATTTGACTAGTGATACATATGTAAAAGTTCGCGAGAAACACGATGGCGCCACTGATTTTCTCTGAAATCAACTCCCAAGCTCAAAAAAAACTCTCAAGTTGAGGGCGTGATGGAGGGGATATCCCACGCTATCCTGAGAGTCCACCTCTACATCAAGACAAACTCTCCATGCAAAGATAGGGAGCAAATACATTGATAGGGTTGCCGTGATTTCAGTTTAAGAGTCCCCAAATAGAGTGGCAGCCCTGTCAATGTATTTGCTCCCTATCTTTGCATGGATAGTTTGTCTTGATGTCTAGACGTGGACTCTCAGGGTAGGGTGAGATATCCCCTCCGTTTTGGCCTCAACTTGAGAGCTTTTTTTGAGTTTGGGAGTTGATTTCAGAGAAAACCAGTGGCACCATCGTGTTTTTCGCCAACTTTTACATGGGAATCCACAGTCAAATCGCAAATTCTTCACACATGTAACATCTCCAATTCACTGATTGAGCAACATTTCGTCGTTCCTCTGACGTGAGGACTTACCTCAATTTTTGAATGAGCCCCAGAAAGCATGACTTTGGGCGTGCTAACGTGAAAATTGAGATACGCCCTTATTTCAGAGGGGCAACGATTTGAAGTTTTGCTCAATTTCCTCTTGCGATTAATTATTAACAAAAAAAACTAGCGACAATTTGCCTTGAGATTTTGTGAGTTTATTATTTTAAACACCTGGAGGGAAATTTACAGAAAATTTCAAGACGTTCGGTTGCTTAGTTATGTCAAAAATTAAAAAAGGAAAGAAATCAGGCAACGTGTAACGTAGTTACGCTGATTTTAATTGAATCCGTCCAATCGATACAAGTATCTCACAATATAATAACGGATAATGAATCTGTGAGAACTTAAATTATGCATCACTTGGATTTGCCGCTATCTACGAGGAATTGAGTGGCATTGAGGGAGGTGACAACCTTGGTAGTGCCATTAAACCGACAATGGAGTTTAAGCCTCGGGGTCTTGACTGATATCGCTTTTTTAGAGAAAATTGGAGGTCAAATTAAGCATTGTTCAAATTTAACTTGAACTTGCCTTCACTGGTCAGACTTATGAACACATACTGAGTAGCTACATCAACGCGCAACTGTATGCGCTTCACTCAGCGCATACTTTTGACCTTTTTCTAGATTTAAAACGCTATGTTTGGATGGAACTAAGCAATTGGGATAAACGTCCATTGGTTATGGATAGTTTTGATTAAAAAAACCTATGTGCAATATAGATTAGGACTGCTGTCATATGTTACACGTATTAATACCATACCGGTAACCATTCACATACCACTTAATTCAATCCCAATTCATTCACTGAACGGCCAGGTCTATGAAATCCTTGTGGAGGTATTCCTATTGCTTAAATCCATCGATTGGTCGATATTCAGCCAATGCGTGCCTTCAAGGCCTGGATACACTCTCAAATTTCCGTCAATTTCCGATCAAAATGATGACAAAGATGGTGGGAAAATTTTTGCAGGCCGCAAAAATTTGATGGTAGATGGTGCGCACCAGTCACCATTTGATCGGAAATTGACGGAACTTTGAGCGTGTACCCAGGCCTTCATCCCTTTCGCGGAACTTTCTAACAGGGTTGCCACAGAGTTTAGAGAATGAAATTCCCTGACATATTTTGGTGAAATTCCCTAACAAGTAAGGATATGCTAGATGGTTAGAAGGACATGATTAGAAATAGTTTTCAGGTAAAATTTGTTGTTCGAAACGTTAAACCCATTCTAAAGAGCAAATATGGGTGGCTTAACAGTTTCCCCAGACATGTTCGTCATTTTCCCTGACTTTTTAAAATCCCTCTGTTTTCTCGGTACTCCTTGACTGTGGCAACCTTGTAAAGATTTGCGACCCCCCGGAAAGCTAAAGCCTGTGTCACACAATCAAAGCTAGCCATCAAAATATCAAGGTCAGGTATTGTGATTGGCTTATTCGATGACTTAGGGCTGCCACAGAATTTAGAGAATGAAATTCCCTGACATTTCCCAGACACATTTTGGTGAGATTCCCTGACAATTGAAGATGTGACGGATGGTTAAGAAGGCATAATTGAAAATAGTTTCCAGGCAAAATTTCTTGTTCAAAATCTCAACCCCATTTAACAAAGGAAATGAAGGTGATTTAACAAATTTTCCTTGACATTTTCCCCGACATTTCCCGGTTTTTCCTGATTGTGGGTACCCTAATGATTTGGACCAATCACAGCTCTTGACCTTGACATTTTGAAGGAGTATTTTGATAGTGTGACACGGGCTTAATCCTAGAATCCCAGGTACCTTTTTTTCAACACCCCTCACTGGGAAAAAAAAACCACGTTGGATCTTGAGTCCAGACTCTTATTGAAAACATTGACAAGAAAAAATACTCTTGATTCAGTCGGATTTTTGCTAGAATCAAAACGAAATCCGCTTAAATCAAGAGGCTTGGTTCTTAAAGGACCACTAGACAAGGCACGAATTCAAGCATTCTGATACATGTTTCTTAAACAGAATTTCACGTAGAACACGATTCGCGCAACGAAAATTACTGAAACTAACTCCTAACGAATATATTAACCTTTTCATTTTTTTTTTTATTTTTTTTTTATTGAGAGTTTAGTGGCTTTTATTCCTTTAGGAATCTACAGCCATCTATAGGCACTATTTATTGTCCGAAGACATCAGGGAGTTTGGTAGACATCCATGCTCGGGCTTACAAATTTTCACGGATTAAGGCCGAGCGAATTCTGCTTACAGATCCACTCGTCAGTTCCATGAAAATTTGTCGCCACCACCGGGATTCGAACCCGGGACCTATTGACCTAGAGTCAGACGCGCTAACCACTAGGCCAACCTGGCCGGCAACCTTTTCATTTCACATTGGTTACGCGAATTTTGAACTGCCCGCTCACACGAAACTCAAAGCTCTACGTGAGTCAAATCGCGCACTACAACGGTTTCAGCAAGCCTCTCAATCGAGCAATGTTCATTTCCCTCCATGTGTTGTTCAAACTATAAGCAATTTGCAATAGCTGAGCCAAAGCGTCCAGCTAGAGGTTGCCAGATTTTTAAATCGCAAGAAACTGTCATGATAAACGTTTAGCGCGCGATGTGAATCACACAGAGCATTGAGTTTTCATGAGCGGTTGGTTTGAATTCACACATCAAGAATCATTAAATATCCTCGTAAGGAGTTGATTTCGATAATTTTCGTTGTGCGCATCGTGTTCTACGTGAAATTATAGTTAAGAAACATGTATCAGAATGCTGAAATTCGTACCTTGTCTAGAGGTCCATTTTAGCTGTATTCTGATTGAATCAAGAGTACTTTTTCTTGTCAATGTTTTTAAGAGTCTGGACTCTAGATCCAATGTTTTTTTTTTTTTTTTTTTTTTTTTTTTTTTTTTTTTAGTGCTGGTACATATGTTCTGTGAGTGCGGTTGGCAATACCCGACCTATGAGGATATTCAAAACTTTAAATTTCGGATGGGCCTACCTCTGATTTTGACCAGCGCCCTCGGTTCACGACGGCGACTCGGGAGGCGGTGACGTCCGAGGAAGAGATGTCGTCTACGTGGGCGTGATTCGACTGATAGTCGGGTCCGTCCATCGTGTCCCGGTCCGACTGACCGGAAACGTCCGAATCCTCGTCCGTTGAGCTCCCATATCCTGACCTGGACCTGAAACAAAAATCATCAAAATCATCAATCAAGTCCTTCGTTAAAAAATAATTTTCAGCGCGGATTAAGAGTTTTTCAATTATTGTAATCTTTCGGAAAGTTTCGTTCGTAAATCAATCAAGAAAAATATTCAAAAAAATCCTAAAAAATTGACATTCACCCCCCGGGCGGGGGGAGAATTTTGTCAAAGGTCGTATGTCCGTAAGGCGCTTTTCTTCAGCACAGAAGCACAATTCTACTGCTCTAAGTAAAAACTCCGTAAGAGTCAACAGGTGTTGCCAAATTTCCTTCGACGGATCACGAATTTTCAGGAAAATTTGTGGTAGTTCCTTATCCGATTTTTCGGAAGATTCCGTTCGCAATTTGATCTAAAAAGGGCTGAAAATGTCAAAGAAAACTATCCAGAACTTTCTTCATGAAAACATTTTTTTCCGATAGGAAATTCTTCAACATTCGAATGTCCACGAGGTGTTTCTTCTCCTTGAGGGAGCCTAACTCGGATTCATCTATTTCCAGAGTGTCTACCAGTTTTGAAAAACCAAAATTGGGGACTTTCGGGGGCATGTAGGGGTGTTTTTTTCAAAAAAAATCGGGGACTTTTTCCCCGAAATGGTAAGAGAAAGGGAGCTAGTTAGAGCGTTAAAATGCGTATTTTATACGACTAATTTTACAAGTCGTGTTGAACCGATAAAAATATACGAAAAACCAAGCAATACTTCAGTTTTTCTATTCCTGGTTATACCGCGCCCCCGCGGCCGGCGGGAAAATTAGCAAATGCCGGTGTTGGCGATTTTTGGACGACTTCTAGGACGATTTAGGACGATTTTTGTCATTTTTTGGGGACCTGAACAAGAAAATTGGGGACTTTCAGGGACATCGTGAACACCCTTCCAAAATTGGGGATAATCGGGGACATAGGGGACTTTTGGGGACCGGTAGACACCCTGATTTTACAAGACAAGAAGGGACGATCCGGTGCGGTCGATCGTAGGAGCGCGCGCGATACGGTTGAGCTGCTCGCTGGCCGACTACTACACGGCGGAGGGCTCATTATGACAGTGGAAGGCAAAGGCCAGGGACGAGAGACGGGTTGCTCCTCATCTAAATTAGGCCGCCATGATTTCCTTCGTCCCGCTTCCCGGGGCAAATGTCACGGTCGCCTCGGTTCCGCGCCCCTACCAGTTCCCCCGCGAAGAAGCCGACGAGTAAAGCTCCCCTCGTAACCCTAGGGGCTCGCTGATCCAGGCCTTCCGCCGCCGTCGTCGCTAGAGCGCTACGGAGGCGTGTCATCGAGGGTGTCCTGTGCCTGTCATTCGAGTCAAAGTTGCGGAGAATTGAAAGTTAAGACTCTTTCGCGGGGGCAGTTCGCGAGGGGCCATTCATACTGCCGTGGTAGCGAAGAGAGTAGTACAGGGTGTCTACTAAAACAGGCAGGCCGAAAATCAGTACTTTTTCAGTGCATTCCGAAGAAATTCAGTACCTCTTCACCAGACTAATTCAGTACTTTTCCAGTGCCTTCATTTGACAAAATTTGATAAATTTCAAAAATTTGAATTTGACGCTCGAATTGCGACAAAAATAGCAAAAATTCCGGACCTTCTCACGGAATTTCCGCACTTTTTCAATACTTTCGGGCCGCTCTTAAAAAATCAGTACAATTTCTAGACTTTCCGGAAATTCCGAACTTCTACATAGACACCCTGGCAGTAAGTGTCAAATTTTCGGAATCGAGTTTTCTTCAAAATCCGTCTAGTCTCTTTTAGATGAAATCACTGAAAAAGCTAAAAGAGCAAAATTCATGTTGATTGTATCAAACCGAGACATGAGAAAGTCGTAAGTGCGCAAAAAATCAAAACTTCATTTTTGCACTTACGCCTCTTTTCGCTATCACGGCAGTGGTTTTCACCTACAAAATCGACTTTTCTACCACAACAGGAGACCCCCAACTTGATATCTCGCCCCCCGGTCTAGACCGCGCTGGTCATGACAGCTTTGAATATTAATCTGCGGCCGCGTTGCGTGCAGCTGAAGTTCGCGAGGGGAGGGTTCGAGCCCCCGAGCTTTCGAAAGGGTAAACTACCCCTGCGACTCCCTCGAAGTAGGTCACCGAACACCGGAGGACCGTCATCGTGGCGAGGGATCCGCGAATCGAAGAACAAACAAACCAAGACGCTCCCGAACCGGTTCTACGAGCGGATTTCTCACCGAGATCCGAAGGGCCTTCGATCATAAATTATCCCCGAAACACGACCGAGAGATTTCGACGATTGTCCGCTCGGTTTATCGCAGCGCGATTTATTCTGTTTTGCTACGGAAGAACAACGTATGCTCGTTCGAGAGTTGCCAGAAAGCCACGGATAAAACATGTATTTTTGAGAACGATTATGCGTATTTTTCCTTGAAATTTTCAGACACTTAAGATACAATTGCGGATAAAATTGTCGGGAAAAATTGAAAAAAACAATTCACAATTTTCCTGGTAAAAAGACACATAATAAATTCTCCCCTATGCAAATGTGGCGAGCTCGACACTCCCGATCACACGTTTTTTCTATGTAAATTTAATACAGCCCCTAAGTTAGAATTAGAAAATAAGTTGAACTCTAAAATTAATGCAAATAATTTATTGGAATTAATGTTACAAAATAGAAATTACTGGAAACTTGGTTACAAGTATATTAAGGATATATTAGAATCTAAGGCTAAAATCTGTAAGTCAGTTGATAATAACAGAAACAACTCAGCACCAAAAACCCCCGATGTAATGCCTTCAGGCGGTGCCGGGGCTGCATTAGATTAGTTCTCCATTTCCTAGAATAAGATGTATATAATATGTATCTCTCACTAACATGTTAATGTATTCAATTATCTAATAATAAAAAAAAAAAAAAAAAAAAAAAAAAAAAAAAATTCCTGGTAAATTAAGGTTTTCTTGAAGGAAATATGGTAACGTCTGGAGGCTCATACGGCGTTCTTCCTTAGCATAGCAGTACAGACGAGCCTTTCTCTTCCAACGATTGAATCAGTGTTCTATTTATTGTAGTGCGATTAGTAAAAGGATTGAAAGTTGCCAAATTGCCCTGAGATACAACACGTAATTATGAGAACGATTACGTATACTTTTCCTTGAAATTTTCAGATATTTTAGATAAGATTGCGGACAAAATTGTCAGAAAAAATTGAAGAAAATTCAAAATTTTCCCGGTATTTTGGAGAGCGATTATGCGTAATTTCCCTAGAAATTTTCAGACAAAATTGTCAGAGAAAATTCACAATTTTCCCGGTATTTTTGAGAACGATTATGCGTATTTTTCCTTGAAATTTTCAGACATGTAAGACAAAATTGCGAACAAAATTGTCCGGAAAAAATTGAAGAAAAAAATTCACAATTTTCCCAGTAAATTAAGGTTTTACTGAAGGAAATGTGGCAACGTCTAAATGCTCATACGGCGTTCTTCCTTAGCATGACGGTATTAAAGGCGAGTCTTATTCTTTCTGACGATTGCATCAGTGTTGTGTTTATCGTAGCTCGATTGAAAGGCGAACGGGGATTCGGCTCGCATGCGCGGAGCGTCCTCGCTCCTCGGATTGTTTAATTGATCGCTGGGTTATATTTAAACCGGAGCTTTAATTTAAAATTCAAACCCATCGCCCATCACCCATCGGCTGCGCTTCGGATACATCGTCACTCCACTGACGCGAAAGGGCGTATCTCGATTTCCGCATGGGCCCCGGGAAGCATTGGTTTAAACATGAAACAGGGTTCACGTGGAAATTGAGATACGCCCTCACGTCGGAGGAACGATATGCCGCACGGTGGATCGAATCAATCAGAGAGGTCGGACATGAAATTGTTGACTAAAACTGCAAATTTTGATGTTCAGGGTGTCTACTAAATCAGGCTGGCCAAAATCAGTCCTTTCACAGTACTTTTTCAGTTTCTACCCGAGAAATCCAATACCTCCTCAGCGGGGAAAATTCAGTACTTTGTCAGTACCTCCAATTGACAAAATTCGAAAAATGTCAAAAATTTGAATTTCTCGCTCAAATTGCGCCAAAAATGAAAAAAATCCGGACCTTCTTCCGGAATTTCCGCACTTTTTCAATACTTCCGGACCGCCTTTAAAAAATCAGTACTATTTCCGGACTTATGGACACGCTGGATGTTTCATTCGTCTCATTTTAAATTTAAAGGGGTGCCTCTAGACGAGAATTTCAGGAAGAAACCAATGAAACCACTTTTGAAACATCTAAGTTTTGTATAAATGGAATTATAAGCTTTTAAAATTTCCAAATTTAGTCCGACCTTTCCCATTGACTCGATCCACTGTGTGCTGAGCCGAGTTCCGAACCGCGAGCTTACACGATGGAAGCTATTTTGCCGTCTCATTGTTCGGAGACGCTCTAGCGGATAATGCCATTATACGCCGGATCGACTAATTTTGACGCAGGGAAATTAATAGGATAAAACTTATTTTTCCTTTCTTTGCTTGGTTTCTTATTTAATTTTTAAATGAAAAAGCTTGGCTTGGCCCCGGAGATTACAGAACGTGCGAACACATGCTAAAAATTATTCATGTTTTGGTTTGAACCTTTGAAATTGCTACAGTACCTGCGATTTTTTACAGTTGGGACAGAATTTTCCCTGCGAATAAAAAAATGAACGGATTCACGCGTGTTGAGTTCATCGAGTTCTTTAAAATTATCTCAGATCACGTTCTGGTCCGCTGAGTTGTTACTCAGTTGAGACCCTCGCTCGATTTGCAACGAAAATGACGTAGAAACCAAAATTCGTCAGTGGCTTAAAGATTAACTGATTGCATAATCGCGATCTTGCAGGCGAATACCACTCCAAAAATTAACGCGAAGGGGATTGCATTCTTTTCAGGTTTTAATAAAAAAAAAAATACGAATGGTATGAAAGAAAAATTTCAGGACCCCTCTTGCGGAATTTCCGCACTTTTCCAGTTCTTCCGGACCGCTCCTTAAAAGATTAGTAA